GACCCTTAGACCTTGGAGTTTTATATTCCTATTTTTCTTTATTTTAAACCTTGGTTATAATTAACTTCTGAGCGGTTAGGACTAGGGCTTTTATTATTTACATATGTATTCTCTGTGGCAAAACCTTTCATAGGATATCAGTTACCTCGACCTTTTGACCTTGATTTTTAGATTTCAATTCTTATGGCAAAACTTTAACCTTGACCAAAACTTTTGAACACCAAGGGCTAGTAATCTGATACTTAATACATGTAATCCTTGTGAGAAAGCTCTTCATTGGATACCAAGAACTTGATCCTCTGACCTTAGATTTGACCTTCTTTTAAAACACAAACATTGACCTAAACTTTTAAAGGCTTAGGGCTAGTGCTTTCATACTTTACATATCAAATCCTTGTGACAAGACCTTTCATTTGATAGTTAGACCTTTGACCTTGATCTTTGATTTTGACCTTCTTTTTAAAATATTTAAATCTGGCCATAACTTTTGAAGAGTTAGTGCTAGGGGTGCCATACTTCACACATTCGTATGTATTTTTTGTGGCAAGACCTTTCATTGGATACCAATTTTTAATAAATTACCTTAATCTTTTGACCTTGACCTTGGAAATTTCAATTCTTATGACAAAACGTTAACCCACTTTTACGTTTCAGAATTGTATTTCCAAAGAGTTTGCATTCAAAAAAGGTTTATTCTTCGCTATGTGGCCATATGGGATAATCAGTGTTTCACAAATATATCTTGTTCGTTAAGATTCTATGAAATTACTAATTTTCGTGGGAAGGGTGGGGGGATTCTTAATTTTCATTGTATGAAGAGACCCACGAATTTATGTCCACCGCAAAATGAACATTTTCACATACATTTCTACTGAACAACTTTGACTTAATTCAATAGATCTTTTTTTTTATGTGACCCCACAATGACCCCCTTTCTTTTCAAAATTCCTCGGATATGCCAATTAATTTATCATTAAATTGTGCTAATTATGCCATTACCAAAATATTCACCTTCAGGCAACATCTTCTGGCATTATTGCCGCAATATTGCAGCAACATTCTGGCATTACATTGCAGCAATATTGCGGCTATATCGTTTTTCGTATGTAAATTAGATTTGCGGCAATAGTGCAAGAAAAGTGTTGCGGCAATATTGTGGCACTATTGTACATGTACTAACATTTTGGCAATATTGCAGCAATATTGTGGCAATATCGTTTTTCGTATGTAAATTAGATTTGCGGCAATAGTGCCAGTAAAGTGTTGCGGCAATATTACGGCAATATCGTTTTTCGTATGTAAATTAGATTTACGGCAATGCAAACAATTGCAGTACATGTATTATTTCAGGTTTTGCTGCAGCAATAATGGGACAACAATGCAGTACTACCTATATATAAATTGGTATTTAATAGAAATAATGATCTATCAATCTAACAATTAACAAACTGTGCTGAGGAACATAAAAATGAAGAGCATAATAAGTTACAGAGTAATTAGAAATAGACAGAAAAACTTTGTTAAAAAAAGATGTGTGTTTGAAACACTATATATGCCCCCAATGACAACAAAGTTTGAAAAAACTTTTTTAACATATAGGTCACAGTCAAAGTCACAAGGTCATTGATCTTGGTGTCATTTGAAAGAACTTAATTAGTGGAATATGCATACTAAATATATGGTTCAAAATTTATGGTGGAGGTTTTTATAAAGGCTGTTTTTAGCATATAGATCACAGAGAAGGTCACAAGGTCATTGACCTTGGTGTCATATGAGAGAGCATAATTAGTGGAGAATGCATACCAAATATAAGGATCCATCTTTCATGGTTCAAAAATAATGTCGAAGGTTCAAAAAATCTATTTTAAGCATATGGGTCACAGCCAAGGTTACAAGGTCAAAGACCTTGGTGTCATTTTAAAGACCTTAATTAGTTGAGTATGCATATACTAGATATATAGTGTCTACTTCTACTGGTTCTTAAATTATGGCGAATATTCAATAAAAACTATTTTTAGCATATAGGTCACAATCAAGGTCACCAGGTCATTGACCTTGGTGTCATTTGAAAGGACTTAATAAGTGGAGTATGCATACCAAATATGAAGTCTCTATATCTCATAGGTTCAAAAGTTATCACATATGGCCAAGGTTAAAGTTTACAAACAGATAGGACAAAAATAATGTGCACCCCAATCTATTAATCCGGGCACATAAAAAATGTGTATATAAAAATATCAATAATTAATATGCCACTGTTAAAATCTCTATTTTAAATAACCTTAATTAGCTGCCCATCATATAGTCCCCAATGACAATCAGTATTATGTATAATACAGTACCGACCAGGCCCAACCTGACACAATGTAATCCCAGAGCAGTCCCGGGGACTGCTTTCTCGGACTGCTAAAACAGTCCCACAGCGGTCCCAGAGTAGTCCCACAGCAGTCCCACAGCAGCAGTCCCATAGCAGTCCCAGCAGTCCCAGCGGTCCCAGAGAGCAGTCCCAGCAGTCCCAGTGGGCGGGGTTTATTAATATATTGGGCGGAGCTACTCAGAAATGATATTTCCAATAAACAATGGAACTATAAAAGGCAGTAGAAATTGATTCTGGATAGTATGCCAGGATTCCTTACATGTACGCAGAGGTCAATTTCGAACACAAAATGTACATTTACGCGCATAAAAATTGAAATAATTACAATATTTATTGGAGAAAGAAGGCTTTCACACTTACATGTACATATATGAATCACAATGAACAGGAATATTTAATCACAATCCTTGGGTATTTTAATAATTCTTCTGTGATTGATACAAGTTCCAATATTTCTTTTTTATACAAAAAATTAAATGTGAATTAACAATTTCCACCGGAAGAAGCCTAAAATAGATCTGATCATTTTATGGCCAATTTAGACTAAAAGGATACTCTAAAATTATTCTTTGATAATTTTGCCAAGTATTATTATTCATTCATGATTATTTTTACTGACTTGTCAATTTAATTATCTTTAATGTTTAGTTCTATAAAACTCAGTTTTTAGTGTTTTATTTATAAATGTTAGAGTGTACATCTGTAAATCACCAGGATGGAAGCTTCAGATTATGTTCAAAATTAAGTAATCCCGAAAGAAATTTATGCACATTTCATCTATCACTTTTTTTGCATTAAATTAATTGAAATTAGGGTCATTGTTTACCAGCATGTTCAATGATGTGTAACACTGATGCAAAGACCCAAATAACATGTATCGATTTTTCTGCCCAAAGGCGATTGAAACAATGGGTGTTGATACCATCTTATAAACATTAATCGGCCAGTTAAACGCAAGCAAATAAAAAAAGGAAATAAATCACTATTCCCGGTATTTACATTTTTTTTAAAACCTAGTTTATAAATTAAAAGCTACCGGTAATTAATAAATTTCCCAATGACTATTCACATAGTTTATGTTACGGGAGAATGGTAGCATAATTTTATTTCATGGTCATTTAATACATTGTTGGGTTTTATTTGAGGGTTACATTGAATACTCTCTTTTAGCGTGGTCCATATAAAATGTGTAGTATTTTTAATTAAAAAAAATCTTATACACCTGTATCTATCTGAAATGATTATTTTTAAATAGTAAAAATGCAAATTTTGAGTACCTAATTTAACATTAAATAATTAAAAAGGCCCACGTGTAGCTATTTTTTTTTCTTAATAACTTGTAGTTTATTTTTATGGATAATTTTTTTCTCATGAATTCCTTATTTATAAACTTTTTTTCAAAAAATATATATATATCAAACTACACATTTATTTGTGTAAGTATACAGTCCATGAAAATATGAATTAACTATAATAATCTCTACCTTATTAAAAGAATGTAAGTTAACAGTTTAAAAGTCTTTCTGCTGCAAGTAAACAAAACAACAAGAGGTCTGCAAATTCAGAACACATAAGGGGGAGGAGCTATCATGTCAATCCGAACCTTTTCACACATGAGTGAACAAATCAGTCCATGAAAGCAGTGCCAGGGGCAGCTGGGACTGCTGGGTCTGCTTTCATAGCAGTCCCAGAGCAGTCCAATAGCGGTCCCACAGCAGTCCAGAGCGGTCCCAAAGCTCTTTCTGGGACTGCTTTGTTGTCAGGTTGGGTCTGGTCGGTACTGTATATATAGCTTGTTTGTAATTCATATATATAGAATTTTTATTTTCTCGTAGGTATTCAAATTTATGCAATAAATTAATTATATATGTTCATGCATTCATCTTTTCCTGCAACAAGGGTATGAAATATATTATACATACATGTATAGTATACATGCATCACAAGCACTAGTTGAAATACATATAATATATCTTTTTTTTTATCTCTATAGAATCATTCATCTAAAAAAAATATGGTTTTAACTTACCAAGTTTGATATATGTACCATGAAAACAGAGTTAGACATTCCTATATAATTCTTTCAAAAGGTCCTGCCATGGAAACTGCTGAAATTCTTTTTTCTAGCTATTCCACATTATTCAGCCTCACTAGTCATCATGTCTAATCCTACTGTACACAACTAACAACCCCAATTAACTTGATACCATTCAATAATGAAGCAAAACATGCTTGCCTTAGAACTTTTTCCATTTTATTTAAAAAGACTGAGCATGCTCACAACTGCCTATCGGGTAATCATAGATCTTCTGGACACATTCTGGCAATACCGCCAGAAAGACTTTTTTCGGCAGTATTGCCAGAATGTCACCAGAAGTTGTTGCCGCTAGCGGCGATATTTCTCTAACCCCAAAACTTGCTTCTGGTGACAAAAATGTGTTGCTGCAATGTTGCCGCAATAAAGCGGCAATATTGCTGCAATGGTTTTACTTTGGTAAGGGTGGTAATGAAAGAAGTGCATCAGATATACATTTCAATAACTTGATCTGTATATGACAATCTTTAAAAAAAGTTTAGACTACAATTGTCTACTGAAGAATAATATTGCTGATATATATTGCAGTTGTGCATGTACAGTACCGACCAGACCCAACCTGACACAAAGCAGTCCCAGAGTAAGTTTATAAGTTTGTGGTTTATTCCGGATCCAAGCAGAAAATAAATAATCAAAGGGCGTACTTGTTTCAGACATCCGGGCGCTGACACGCTTCACTTTTATCGCATAACATATTATCCCTGAAAAGAGTGGCCGGAAATGGCTGTTATTGCTCCTGTTGCTGTAAAAAAAATCTGGGACGACGATTTTGTGGATATATTTCGTTTTGATTTTTACTAGATTCATTCAATGCACAATCTGCCAAAATACGCGCTGTCACCAAAATAAATAACGTTTTTTATGTAAAAGTTTAGACTTTGAGGGTTATAACATAAATTATTTTTTAATGATGTCTTTTACAGTTTTCTTTTTATATTCGTTTGAAATTGGTATTGTTTTCAAGTGAAATCTACATGTATTATGTCATAACCTTTGACGTTATATAAACACACGTATACAGTTATAAAAACGCTTGCGTTATATTAAGGAAAACGTTTGCAACTGTAAATATATAATGTATACGTTAACGTATGACGTAAACATTACATATTTACATTTGCAAACGTTTTCCTTAATATAACACAAAAGTTTTTATAACTGTTAATGATATCATCGAGTAAAGATTAAATGATTTATCTTGAAAAAAAAAATCAAATATTTGAAAGAGCACCATCTAAAATAATTATAGTCTTTCTGATGTCACAATTGATGTATATTTATTACTTCTAACATGTATATTTATTACTTCAAACCTCATGTTAAAAGACTGACGAAGAAATATGTAACTTATATGTACAGAATGGATTCGAGTTCGAGTCTAATCATTGCAACAAAATGATAAAATGACACTTGTGAAAAAACAACCAATGAACGGGGGTGGGGGTCCTGAAACCTCCCCCTGGATCCTCCACAGTTCACTCACTGTCTGGAAGGCTGGTGGGCTCTCCCAACTTAATTTTCGTGATATTAGTAAAATTTAGTATCAATTAGTACTGAAATAAGTGGATATTGAAAGTAGTTGGCATCTTCACCCCATCCACTCCTTACCCACACGAAACAGGATTTTCGACTATGGGCAAATTTTCTTTTTTTTCTCTTTTCAACTTTTTCAGTTAGTACTTTTTTTTTCTCTGGCTGCCCCCCCACCCTTATTTCAAAAACGATGCTACTTGGCTGCGCTAGTCCGGAATGTTTTACACAGACGCCATGTCAATCCAAAAGCCACCTTTTCACAAACATTAAAATAAATGTTGTAAGACCTCTTATCTCGTTATGGTGTATGAACTTTAATTTTATTGAATGTAAAGGTATTACCTAAAATAAAACACAGAAGGAAATTTTAAATAGAATATTTTTGAATTTAGGAAGATACATAAAACATCCAGTGATGTCCGTTCATTCGAAATTTTTTTTCCCACCTCCGATTGAAAGATGTACCGCGAGATTCGATCGATGAAATACATGTAGGTTATTCTATGAAACACATGGAGGACGGAACAACATTCAAGATCAAATGTCCACTAAACAATACAAAACAGAAGCAGTTGAGTCAACACGGACCACCAAAACATCAGAGGTGGGATCAGGTGCCACTGGTGGAGTGAACATCCTCTGCTGACCGGTCACACTCACCGTTTGCTCTTTGTCATGATCGGGATAAATGGGGAAAATCCTTTTTGGGGGTTTAGTCCCTTTTAATTAGCCATCCCACATTCAATTTGCTTTTGACGCATTATGGTTATAAATTTGCTAGTACTGGACAATTAATTAATAAGATATAGTTCAAATACAACAAAAGTTGCAACGTCAATATGCTCTTATCTCATCAATATATTTCATTTCCGTAGTTTTTTTTTCTAAATTTCTGAATACAGTCGGTATTTTGTCGGCCTATTCAGATGGCATATATGTACAGTATATATATGTAAAAAAATCAGTCATTTTTATACACCTCAGTAAAATACATGTATATATATTTATAAACCAAGACCCGAGTACCTGTGATACTCTCCACGGCACCCCATCCAAGAACCAATATTTCAGTGGCGGATCTAGAGGGGCCCAGGAGCTCCCCCTTTTTCTGTCCACAATATACATGAGATTTCATAAATCATTTTTTGGGGTTTGGTCTCTACCCTCTACCCTCTACCCTGACCTTAAACTGGTCTGAGTCCCTTTTCAAGATTTCTGGATTTATCATTAACAAGTGCATATTTTATAAAATACTTCACGGAAAAAGAAATATTCTCGAGTATCTGACGTATATATGTATCATAAGCGTCGGAACCTGAGGGGGGAGGGGGGGGGTAGGGGGGGGCTTAGCCAAATATATACTTAGTTTATATATACTTATACCTGTTTACATGGATTGTGTCAAATGAATATTCTGAGTTTGTTGTTTTATTATGCCAACTTATAAATGCAAATTATAATAAGAGAAAACAACATAGTTCAATATAGGCATATTATAGATATTATACATAGGCCATTTATAATGTACATTTTATGAATCTTTAAAGTAGATACCCAACTCTCTGTTCATCATACAGTGTTTGTTTTAATTTGTTCTGTTATTTTTTTTGTATGTATAACTGAGATGAAATTGGTTGAATAAATATTATAAAATTCTAAATTCCATACTTAGTATAGGCATTGAACATATCTTTTTAGGTTTAGCCCCCCACTTTTCATGTTAAAAAATAGGGAAAGTTTTAGTACTGAAGTTCGACTCCCCCTCCCCCCCCCCCCCCCCCCCCACGAAATAGGATTTTTGTGTTTGGGAACCGGACTTTCCTTTTTTTGCTTGTCAGGTTTTTTCAGAAGGTACATTTTTTTACACTTACCCTCCCCCCCCTTTCAATTTGCTTCCGACGCCAATGTACATGTATATATATATATATGGAATGCCATATACGACATCCAACTGCTTACTGCCAACTGCTGACTGCTTACTGCCAACTGTTCTGTTCTTACTGCCAAGTGCTCACTACTTACTGTCAACTGCCACACATATTTGAACATATTTTAAAATATTGATAATAATACACATATTTGCTGCGCCTCGGGAAATAGTTTGCTGTCTTGGGGGACGATAAACTTGCTATTGTCCTCATAACCAGTAAATATGTGTATAATATCTAATATCCACGACCACAGCATTTATAACAATTTCAAAAAAAAAAGTTCAGACTACAATGTTCTACTGGAGAACAATATTGCTGATATATGTTGCAATAAAAGTAAGTTTGGGGTTTATTATTTCTTATTCCGCTCTTTTAAATATCTTAGACACGATGTGTGAATACATATCGGGATCGAAATACCAAAAAATACTGGCATCCAAAGATCAAGTCCAAACGCAGACGTTGAAAAGGGCGAAAAGAGTATAGAAAAAAGTCACTGTAGAAAGCAATATTGTTGGGAGGAACACGTGTGAAATAATTGGTAATCAAAGTAAGGTCATATCTCCTTGACATAACCTGAGTTTTGATTTGTTTACGATAGACTGTGTGTAAGTTGTTAACAAGGAAGTAAATTATCCATAGCCATAGGAAAAGGGTTTGACTTCCGCATTATCAATAATAGTCTATTGAGCTTGCTGCGCTCACTATTAATTATAAAACACACTAGTAAACAAAGTACTCTCCTGCGTAGTATTACGACTGCGTATGCATCAACCATTGCTTAATTCCGGAGAAATATTAGTTTGGACCAGTGTTTCTGCTAATTTTCAAAACCAAGGGTCATTATGACCCTTGATATAAACTTTTGGGGGTCAAAAAGAATTTCTGAGGGTCAAAATATATTCTGGTTTTGCTTTCGGTTCTGACATTAGCTCTGCCTTCTAAGATCATATATTTGATGTTTAATTTTTTTTAAAAATGAAAGTAAAATATACATGTAATTTGCACATGTATACTTCCTTTATTTTACTGCTACACAGTTACATTTTACACATTACACGATATGGGTTTCGTGAATGCCTCAATCAAAAAGTAACAATTGAAAGTGATTGATTGCTTTACAAGCCAGTTTTTTTAAAGATTTGAACTTTCGTCACCTATTTATTACCATAATTAGCATTTTTGACAAAACCAAACTGATGAAATTATGCCGATGTAAGACTGAACATGCCGAAAATGCTGAAGCGCCATTTTTATCTACACTTCCGGTTTTGTTAAGAATAAGATTTCAATCCACGGCCACTTTGAAATTAAACTAAAATCAATGATTAATTCCTAAAAAGTTGTCCAGAATGTAAATTAAACATATAAAATATATATATCTTTTTCTATGAAAACATCAATATTGAACTGAATTTTTAGCTCTACTGGTCAGAGACCAGAAGAGTTTATGCGATAGTAATGCGTCCGTCGTCTGTCCGTCTGTCTGTCTGCCTGTCTGTAAACAATTTTTCAAAATGCTACTCCTCCTACAGTTTTGTTCTGATTTCAATATTACTTGGCACACAAGTAGACTACACTAATATACTCAGTACATAATTCTTTGCATCGGTTTTGGATTTCGATAAACGGTGTTGCCATTGTTACTAAAAATAGAAATTTCTATGAAATTCTTTCAAAATGCTTCTCCTTCAACAGTTTTTGTCTGATTTCAGTATTACTTGGCACACAAGTAGGCTATACTAAGATACATAATTCTGTGCATTGGCATATGGAGAAATGACGTGCAGTTTATTCATGAGGTTGATCCCACGTGATTTACTTCTCATTAATATTCATATGATTCTGCAAAAACTCAAATTATATCATTTCTTTATTTTTTTATTATAAAAACATGCAAAACTTTTTTATTTGAATTTCTTTAAGCACTCAGCATATCTAAATGGGTAGAATTTTGCGTTATCATCAGTTGGCAATTAATGATAACGTATGTGTCAATAATTAGTAGGTCAGGCGAATGCAAAAATTGACGTTTTTAAATTTAAAAGGCGGTCGTAACTCTTCATACAATTTTATAACCGCAATATTTTCTTAAAATAGACCTTCGTATGCACCTATTAATCGGCGGAAGAACTCTGTCATCATGCAAAAAAACACTTACATTTAAATACCAAAAATGATAAAAACACTAATTCAGTCCTCTTTTCTTCAATAAAACAGTGTACTCTCGCTTCAAATTTTCAAATCAAAAAGGCGGTCGCAACTTTCACTTTGGCATCAACATCATTGTTATTTCCGGTAGAGGATATAAAGGAAAAACAAAAGATCGGCGGAAGAACTTTATCCGAAATAGTTAGAATATAAAATTTGGCATTTTTTTGTGAGTTCTCTATATAATCCTTTATAGAATCCGCCGCCATTATAGCTCCAATATGGCGAATATGTAAATGAGCAGAATGAACACCATTTCTCCATATGTTTTTTTTTATAAGCGACCATTTTTCTATTAATTGCTATTTTAAAGTTTCAATTCCTAGCTGCTACTTTTCTCTTTCTTTGTTTAATTTATAAACCTGTAGAGCTACAGTCTCGCAAAACTTCTGGTTAAAACTTGTTTTTATTTGTTTTCTGCGTCATGATGGCCCTATAGGTGACGTTTCTGAAGTCAAAAGTAATTTTTGCGCGTAAAATACGCAGAAATATGCGTTAACCGAAACACTAGTTCGGACCGTGTGAAATTCAGACAATTCCAAAAGGTTTCTAGACTTAGCAATTATTGAAATTTTACTTCAAATTAAATGAAAAATGCGAATATATATTATTCACAGTTTTTTTAATTTGTTAATTAAAAAATTACCAAAACTCATTAAAAAAAGCACAATTGTGAAATCTAACATGAAAACTATTTTGACCCTGTCTTCGATACTGATACTGCAATTGGGAATGGGTCCCTTATAGATAGTTTTCGATTGACGTAAAGTTACCTCCCGTTGGTGGCCATATTGGAGGTCGAATCTAATATAAAAATTTAAAATTGGTTGAATAATGAAGGAATATGAGTATTTGGACCTCCAGTATGGCGGCCAACGGAAGTTAACTTTTGCTTAATTTAGGTCAATTGAAAAAGTTCTATCTAATTGGCCCTAAAGGGTTCAATGGAAAATCCCTGAATAAATTTAAAAAATCTTGAATCTTCTTTAAATACACTTTCAATGTTGTTGAAATAAACATTTTGACACTCATAGTCAAGAAAAACCACTTTAAAAAAAGACGCACTACTGAGTTAATCTCAGCGAGACGGCATAAGGACTTAAAATTAGTTCTGGTGTCCCTCGACATGTCAGATCAATGTCATACAACGTGATTAGGGCTTTTTTGCCCCGACCTCGACTGCTTGTTTCAATGAATACGGGCTGAAATGAATTAGCTTCCCACTTCAACTTTTTCTTTGAAACTTTACTCTCTTACTTTTAAAAGGTGTAAATCCAACAAAATATAAAGTTGTTGATTTTTCATAGAAATATTCCATTCATATAAGCCTCCACTGCTGATCAGTTCCGCAATAATTTGCTTCAAATGTTTCGTACTATAGTTCATTCCTATATGAAATACAGTATAACTTGGTTATAACAAAGTCACTGTAACCTTTGAAATTACGTTGCTATCTCCATAATTCATTATATCTGTGTAAGGAATTCGTAAAATTTATATAGATGGAGATCAAAGATGACTTAACTATATCTGTGAAATTCGCAATATCCGTGCTCGTACTAAATTAGTTTTACTTTAGCAGTAGTACGAAGTATTCAAAGCAGGCTATTCCAAAACTTCAGCATCGAATGTTTGAATGAAGGGGATATTTTCATGAAAAATCAACAAGTTTATATTTTGTTGGAATGTAAACCCTTTGGGGGAGGGGGGGGTCACATAAAGACATCAGTGTTATACAAGTTTAAGAATGGAAATAAAAATGTCTTTTTAAAAATCTATTAAAAGTGATTATAAAGAAAAATTCCTGGACAGTGTAAATGAGAGCTTGTTTAAATCATGATGCCCCAGGGGTAGAGTGAGGCAACAAGAGTGGATCTTAGTTTCACGTAATAATATAGAAAATGCCTTATTTTCTCAAGAACAACAAAGCAATGATTACTCATATTAATATAGAAGCATCCTCAAGTGGTGTAGATTTCATTATTTGTTTGTCATGACCCATGGGGATAGATAAATATATAGGGAGAAAATCCATTAAAGCCATGATTAGTTAGTTCACTAGCATGATATATAGAAATTTTTACGTTGATTTTATTTTGCAAATCTGGGTCAAAATGCTGTTGATTAATTTTTACTTTTTAATATTTTGCGAATGACCACTACTTTGTTTCCATTTTCTTATTGTTGAATTATTTTTAAGAAAAATATTTTTGTGAAAGCAATGAACTCGCAAATTTGCTAAAAATTTATCTACAGCAAAAATTTCCAGATTTACGGTATATCTACATCCATAAACATACCCAAAGAAAGTGTTGTTTGACATATTGGACCTATCATAGTGTTTCATAAGCTAAATGGTTCATTAGTTATATATAGGTTAATTGTCTCAATTTATCTTGACAGATTACCCAGAATCCTACTACCCTATTGTCTAGAAGAGGAAAGAATCGTCTCCTTAACAGGTTTTCTTTTCAATCTCTCACAAGGGTACATGTACATAGATTGACCCTTGTGCATGCATTAATTTACATTGTAATTGTTTTTATATACCTAGGTATATACTTCAAGTCTTGTATACATGTATGTATCAACATATTCTTAAAAAAAGCAAATATTTTTTGAATTTTAACACTTCTAGTGAATTAGAACCTCAAGGACTCTTCATTTTTATATATATAAGATACATGTAATAGTCTTAATTTATTTTGACAGATTCCCCAGGGTGTAATATCCAACCATTGTCAGGGAAAGGGAGGCATCATCTCCTTACAGGTTTTTAAATCTCTTTTACTTAGAGGATATTCAAAGTTTTGTAGTTGAATGCAAGACAAAACTCTGTAGGTCACCTGAACTATTGCTATCTGTTTTCGTTCCGTCGTCGTATGTTCATTTTTTAACATTTTCACCTCTTTCTCTCCAAGCAGCAAAAACCAAACCAATTTCAACCTATTTTGGCACTAAGCATCAATGAGTGAAGGGTAACAACAATTGTGAATTTTATGGTCCCTGATAAGCAAAATTGCCTCTTCCAAAATTGTAAATTTTATGGCCATGGGGTCAGGGATTTTGGTGTTAAGGTGGAGTTCTACTGGTTTTTATAGTGAAAATACATTAGGCCATTTGTTTAAAATTAGTTTACAAATTACAAATTTGTCCGTCTTCTGTCCATCCTCCTGTCTGTCTGTAAACTTTTCACATTTTCAAGGTCTTCTCATCAACCACTGGGTCAGTTTTAACCCAACTTGGTACAAAACATTCTTTAATGAAGGGAACTTTAAATTCTTAAAATGGAGTTAAAAATGAAGGGCCATGCCCCCTCAAAGGGAAGATATTCAAGAAAAGACAAAAAATATAGTGGATTCATTAAAAAAATCTTCCCAAGAACCACAGAGCCAGAAAAGCTGAAACTTTTGTAGAAACATTCTGGTTTAGTGTACATGTAGGATCTAAATTGTTCAAATTGTAAACTTATATGGGAGCACTCTGGGATAGTGTAGATTATAGATTGTTCAAATAATGACCCCCAGCGGTAGGTTGGGCCACAATAGGGAATCCAATTTTAACATTTAAGTATAGGGGAACAAAATTTTAAGATTTTCACAAGAACCACTGGCCAGAAAGCTGAAACCTATATTGTAGCATCCTGGGATAGTTTAGATTCTAAATTGTTCAAAGCATGACTTCTGGGGATAGGGCGGGGTCTCAATAGGTCTTACATATTGGAAAATCTGTTAAAGATCAAAGTTACTCAGGTGAATGATGTTGCCTGTGGGCCTCTTGTTTAAAAATTGCTGAAACCATAAATCCCTGTCACATGAAATTAAAGCTCTCATTCAAATTTTATAATATCAAAATGAAGACACAATTTTCTTTTTATTTAAATAAATAAGCTGGAGAGATGTATGTTTTGTAATAATAGTGAACAATAATATATTCTTTATTTTCTTTACCTAGAACACAGAAACAAGATGAATGAAGGCTATACAGTTGTTACCAGATACAAGAAATTTGTGTGGTATACATTTCTCTGTTACTATTTATAACCATGTCACAACATAATGTAGATCATACCTACCTATTTAGTCACGATCACGAAAATCTACATTTAATACTGCTCATTGACAATATTGTAAATCTATAAAGAAAATATAGTTTATCATGTTTTAGCATTTTCATTGAAAATGTCTTCAGTTGATAAATTATTATACTTGTAACTTGAGAAATCTAAATCTTCAATTTCAATAATGTTATTATTTATCAATATTGATTTTTAAGATCAGACGTATGGTGAACAGTTGGACCCTGCTAGAGAGATCCTGATTAAAAATAAAGTACTCAGTGTAAAGGTATTTTTATTTATCTTTTTCTTAATTGAATTTTATTCTTCATGTTATTAATGATATATGCCTACAGAGAGATTTGTAAAGGATTCAGTACTCAGTGTAAAGGTATTTATGTTTTTCTGTATCTTAATTCAATATAATATTCTTTATGTTATTAAAACTAAGACATTTATATACCAGTATGCCTACATTATATTGAGAGACCTGTTACTGATGTAGATAATTCTGTTACACTGTTGTAATTTACAGAGAGATCTCCCTGACTGAAGAAATCCACACATGATCCTGTTATAAAACACCAGCCGGAGGATAAAGAAATAGATGTCTGCTGTCAATAATGTATAGATTAGTGTACCTGAAATCTGTCACCGTGTCTGGTGTTAGAGGGTGTTGTCACATTTCACGTGTTACATCAGACCGGGTCTGGATCAGTGATAATGAAGGCAATCTTATACTGACAAACACCAGAGGAGAAGAACTAGATCGTGTGACAGATATAGGTGGTGGTTATGGAGGACACACTGTGGACACTAATGGTGATCTAATTTATATAGACAGTAGTGATAACATCATTAAACGGTCTACAGAGAACAAAGAAAAGACTACGATAATACAGTACAACACGTCACCATGGAGACCACGGAGTGTCTACAGCTCCCCCTCCACTGGTGACCTGCTGGTCGGGATGTTTAGACGTGATACATATACAGGCAAGGTAGTGCGGTATAACTCCACAGGAGAAAACATCCAGACCATACCGAACAACAACATCACAGGTCAGGGACTGTATAGTATACCTGAATACATCACAGAGAACCGCAATGGAGATGTTATTGTGTCTGACGCGGGCCGTCTTGCTGTAGTGGTGACAGATCGTGACGGTAATTACCGGTTCTCCTACAGAGGTCCTCCATCAGGATCATGGCTATCACCACGTGGAATCTGTACTGACGCGCTGTCACACATCCTGCTGTGTGATTACCGGTCAGTACAGATGTCAGATAGTGAGGGTTGCTATCTGACAGAAATAAAGACACAACAACACGGGATATACTCACCACACGGCCTGAGTTATGATGAGGACACACAACTACTGTGGGTAGGGGAATACAACAACAACACAGTCAACCTATACAGAGTGGTAGATACAGACTCTCTGACTGGTAAGTAATATTGTACATAGTTATAGTTCAGCACTTTTAATTACATGTATTTCAATTGTTTTACAATACTGTGTGTACACAATATGATAAAGACAATTTGATAATTATTGGGAAAGCCATTACTTAATCATTTCACGGATTTTTTTCAGTTTAATAACACAACTTGTTTAGTTTAGTTTGATAACAAGTAGACAAAATTACTGTAAACCAACTTTTATTCGCGTGCGAGAAATCTTCGCGAAGTTCGCGAGAGACTCGTCATCGCGAATATTTCTCGCCGCGAACCGGTTCTTTAAGACTTTGTGTCTATTAAAAAGAGAAGCTAAATAAACTTTATCGCGAAAATTTATCGTCGCAAACTAGTTTACCACCGGTCAATCGCGAAATAAAGTCGTCGCGAATAAAAGTTGGTTTACAGTATTTCTAAGATGGGGACTTATGAATTATAAAGTATTTTCATGATTTTACATGTAATTATAACTAGATACATTATTTAAAATATTAATATATATGTTTTTAACAAGTCATTTGTTTTGATAAAAAATAATCTATATTGTACATATAATCTGTGTTGCCTATGTCACCAAAACTTACATCAAAAAAGGTAAAACCCATCAATGCGCTTGACTTTATCTTTAAATTAATGTGAACAATTTAAAGGCATTTGTAAGGAAGAAATTGCCTTGGTTTCTTTTCTCGAAGATTTAAAATGAAATCATTTATAATGAATGAATTAAAAAGCATAAACTGGTTTTACAGTATAACTTGGGTTGCTTTTAAATTCATTCCTTAAATAACTTTTTTGTGTTCTAGGCTTAGGAAGATAAGTTTTAAGCTTTGTTGACTTTGATTTATTTGAACACGTCTCTCTTTGATTTTAACTTTAGCTTGGGCTGACGTACATTATAATTGTACACTATAAACTTTATAGTATATATGTAGTAGGCTGCTAATATGAGGAATGGAAGGGTATTTAATGTTTGTTTAACTGTTTATTTGTAACTAAAATTGTAAGGAAATGGAATCTTGGGAATAGTCAACTATTCAATGGGTATGGTGGGGGTGGTGGTTGGGGGGGTTGGGGGGGGGGGGGGGGGGGGTTGGGGGGATTTAGAGATCAGGGGTATGACTATGAAAGAGAGGGTTTTATTTTAAATCTTAAAAGGGATTGATATATTGGCATTCTTCAAGTTCTTTCAATATATTGTACTTCATTCACGAACAAAAATAATTCCATCTCTACAGTATTTTCATAGAGTTTAATAACAGAAGACATGATTTTGATAGCAACACCATATATATCAACACCAGCTCTGTCTAGGAATGTTGTGTATTTCTGTAGCAGGTGTTCAGTAAATCTATACTGTGTACTGGGTTGACATTCTACATGTATATTACATATAGGGTTCACTGATTGTAGCAGTAATAACTAAGTTGTGTCATTTATTCAGAACTTTTTGTGTATAAATCAAAAACTTAATCATTTTATTGCAGTGGATACTTAATACTTCACTACATGTAAATGTAAAAAGTAAAATGTCTATAAATATTTTGGCAAAAAAAAAATTAATATTTTGACTTTGCTGCTGATTTTAGATGATCTAAGGCTAAGAAAATTGTAAATATATGTACTTCTTTTAATGGACTCGACAAACTTAATATCTTCTTAGCAGATATGATGATATTAAGAAAATAACGTTATTTTTCAAGGAAAAATAATTCCATTTCATTAACATTTCAGAGGTCAATTACACATCTTCTGCCAATTTTGCCAACATTGAGACTAATTTTCCTAAAATCTTTGGATATTACTTTACAATCTCTATGTGTTACATTTTTTGTGCAAAGCTGTAGATTTTTATGCAACATTTTAAAGTGAGGTGGGTTTAGGATGAAATGATTAAAATAAGTTATAATTATTATGTTGGATTTCAGTGTGTTAATCATGTTAATTGTTAAAGATAGATTTCTTTTACTGTCATGAACCATCTAGTGGTACTTGATAACCCAAGCACAGCATGACTAAAGCCTTGCAGATGCCAGTAGATTTACAATAATGAGTAGTAAAGTATCAATAACAGGAATAAGTTACTGAAGAAAAGCATACTGTATACAGGGTTATTTTTGCCCCGAGTTATTTTCGCCCTTTCACACTTGCAAACAATTTTGCCCCGTTTTAAATTCGCCCATTCATAGTTCTGCTTAAGAAATTATGCTGTGTAATTTGAATTCGCCCCGTTTTAAATTCGCCCAATCAAGAAGAGGGCGAAAGGGGCGAAAATAAATCGGGGGCGAAAATTTCCCTGTTTACAGTAATCAGGGGAAGATAACCCAAAATGTTGACATTCAATAACTGTAACAAATTATTTCAAAAATAAGTTGTTTCCATGATGCCCTTGACTGCTACATGTATGTAAAAAATAAATAAGTAAAAAAAGTGAAATGTTCCGGACAAGTGTACTGTAATCAAATCTTAATATAATGTCAGCCTTACACTTGATATGGGGGAACACAAAGAAAATAGAAATTATATGATAATGCTGAAATGCTAAAATTTATGTCTTAATATCTTGTGCATATTCCTATTTTCTTCTTAAAAGGTCTCCCTCTGGAGGATTTCAAATGCAGGAAACATCCAAGCCGTCCTTTATCCCAGTTCTGTATCCCGTGTGACGTCACCTTGTGTCAGGAGTGCATCAGGACCTCTAGTGATCATAAAAAACATGACGTTAGAGATGTTGAGAAATTATTCAGAGAAATTCACAAGAGAAAAGGTTTGTAATGATGCATGCAGAATGTGTTTTTTTTTAAATCTAGACATTTATTTTTGAGAGTGTAACAGAGTTTAAAATGGCCAGATGTTGTAAGTGTAAATAGTGGGGCCATGCTCCTTCTACTAGCACTAGCTAGTTGGTAAACCCTATCGCTCAGTCGGTAGATCGTTGGATTTTAAAATCTGAGGGTTGTAGGTTTGGGCCACAGTGTGGACACCCCCTAGTCGGGAATAGATCAGGTTCACTTGTGTCTTTTAACTTTTCAATTTTTAATTAATTTCTTCTGCCTTTTTTCTAGCCAAAGAGCAAAAAGTACAGTGAGTGTTGCGGTACATGAACCTCTTGTTTATTTGTAGATGGAGATGCAGTTTTGATGTGCCTACTGCTTTGCCCTTCATACAAATTAAATCTAGAGGAAGAACGCTGGATAAAGAATTATAATGCTGTTGCTGAAATTTTCAAACTAAAGAAGATTAAAAAGCTTTCTAATCTTAGCAGCTTAAAGAAATTCAAACCAATTCTGAGACATGATAGTGTGAATGTAGAGTTTTCTTGTGAATTCTTTAAGCACACCAGTTTTCTTAGATTCGCTAAACATCCAGATTTTGTGGATATTTTTCTGACTTCGGCAGAAAAAGACAACATCGCTGAGTACTGCAGGTCATGGGTTTACCCAAAGAAAGAGGGTGAAGTCTTTTGCTGGTTATCACCACAACAAACAAATCAATTGATAGAAAAACTTGGAGAGGATATCTTCAAACACCCAACATGGCAGGATACATCAATACATGAGGATGTATTTAGAAATTGTATGTCTTTGATTTATAGCTTTATCAAAATATAAACTGTGTAAACATTGTAAATGTATGTAGGTTAACCCAATCAAAATTTGGCAAATGATACTCATCAAAAACATGTAATCAGTGTAATCATGAATTGGCATATTTTTGACATTTTGATCAAAATATCTAATGATCTATTTACTAATTTAGGGATAGTTTAAGCTTGAGTCCTTGGCGTGTAAATTACATACACCTGCAACAATCTTAGGCATATTTCGGGCTAATTAATAAACAAATATTGTCAATTATTCCAGGATTTTACCTTTTCATAATATTCACTGGTTTACTTCTATACACATTTCATCTTGGTAGATATAATTATATTCTGCCGAGATACATTAATGATATCTAATTCACTGTATCACAGGAGGAAAAAGATGGTTGAATAATTGAAAATTGAAAGTAAAACTAGCCTACAACTGCTACTTAAACACATTGCATGTCTCTCATAAATGTCCCTCGTTTCCAAATAAACAGTAGACAATTTGAAATTTCAGTTGGAACTTTTAATCTCATTCTTTTGTCAATCTGTCCGTCCGTCACAGAAACTTTAACTTAGGTCATTAATTTTGAAAGAGGAAGAAGAGATGGGGATTTCATGTTTCATATGTTCATTACCTGTGACAAGACCTTTCTTAATGTACCATGATTTTTGACCCCGTGACATTGACCTTTAAATTTTACCTACTTTTTAAAAATGTTATCTTTCCTAACAATTTTTGATAGAGAATAAATAGTGCTTTCATATTTGACATGCGCATTGCCTTAGTTAAATCAAGATGTTTCTGACTTGATATAATTTTAGGAACTCTTGATGTTGACCTTCATTTATGACTTATTTTTCAAAATTATGAACTTTGGTGATTACTTAGGAATGATAAATGCTGGGTTGAAGATATCTGCCATTTAATGTATTCCCATCCACTTAGACATCAAAAGCCAGCGACTGCAATTCTTTGAATTTGCTCGCTTGATTAATAAGAAAAATACTTAGGAAAAACAAGTGTGCATATGTTGTACCTGTTTGCCTTGAAAAGTGTTAGGACAAACTAGTAAAACTAAAATTGAGTGACAGATGTTTTCTTTTATCATAGTTGGTGTACCAATGCAGATTCTAATAAGAGGAGAAGAGTCAGTGAAGAATTTCATTGAAAATCTTAAGAAAGGGGAGACGACCATGTACCACGCCTCTGGGATGATCATTGGGTGTGCAGGTAGTGGGAAGTCAACCTTACTAGAAAGACTGAAAGGCATCGACCTGAGAGAAATTCTGGAAAGTTCAAAGTCAACCAGAGGAATTGATGTCCAGGCTGACATATTTGATGTAACTGGAAAAACAATCAAGGGTATGATTTTTAGCTCACCTGAGCCAAAGGCTCAAATGAGCTTTTCTGATCACAATTTGTCCGTTCTCTGTCGTCGTCGTCGTCGTTGTTGTTGTTGACGTCGTCGTTGTCGGCGTTGTCGTTGTAAACTTTTCACATTTTCATCTTCTTCTCAAGAACCACTGGGCCAATATCAACCAAACTTGGCACAAAGTATCCTTTGGTAAAGGGGATTCAAGTTTGCTCAAATAAAGGGCAACCCCCTTTTCCAAATTGAGATAATCATGAATTTGTTAAAAATTAATGGCATTTTTAAAAAATCTTCTTCTCCAATGGGCCAGGAAAAATGAAACTCATGTGGAAGCATCCTCAGGTAGTGTAGATTCAAGTTTGTTCAAATCATCACCCCCAGAGCAAGGGTGGGGCCAAAATGGCCGACCCAAGTTTTACATAGGAATATAAAGGAAAAATCTTTGAAAAATCTTCTTCTCCAGAACCACTGGGCCAGGAAAGATGAAACTCATGTAGAAGCATCCTCAGGTAGTGTAGATTCAAGTTTATTCAAATCATGACGCCCGGGGCAAGGGTGGGGCCAAAATGACCGACCCTAGTTTTACATTAGAATATATAAGAAAAATCTTTAAAAATCTTCTTCTCAAGAACCACTGGCACAGGAAAGATGAAACTCATGTGGAGTCATCCTCAGGTAGTGTAGATTAAAGTTTGTTCAAATCATGACCCCTGGGGCAAGGATGGGGCCAAAATGACCGACCCAAGTTTTACATAGGAATATATAAGAAAAATCTTTAAAAATCTTCTTCTCCAGAACCACTGGGCCAGGAAAGATGAAACTCATGTGGAATCATCCTCAGGTAGTGAAGTGAAACCTTTTAAAATATTCTTTTCAAGTACTTCAAAGCTATGATTAGTGATATTTATATGGAATCATCCTCAGTAGTGTAGATTCTAGTTTGTACAATGATGAACGCCTGGAGGGGGGGGGGGGTAAATTCAAGCCCGATGTGCTCAGGTGAGGGCTGTGGCCCCTGGGCCTCTTGTTAACTCTACTGATCAGAGACCAGAAGAGCTTATGCGATAGTAATATGTCCGGCGTCCATCTGTCTGTAAACAATTTTTCAAAATGCTACTCCTCCTACAGTTTTGGTCTTATTTCAATATAACTTGGCACAGAAGTAGACTAAGATACACAATCCTGTTTATCATTTTTTTATTCCGATGAACATTATTGCCTTGGTTACTAAAAGCAGAAATTTTTGTAGAACACCCTCAAAATGCTACCCCAAATACAGTTTCTGAGACTAGTTTAAAGGGACTTAATCAAGGATCATTATTCTATTTATTGCTGTTGTAAAGTTTCAATTCCCAACTGCTACTTTTCTCTTCCTTTGCTATAAGTACAAACTAGTAGAGCTTCAGTCTCGACAGAGACTTCTGGTTTAATCAGATCAGATGAAATATTCCAAATAATATATTATAATAAAGAAATGGTATATCGCATGTGTTACAAGCACTCTCACTTAGAATGGTATGCCATGACTGTAACACATAGAATTCTCTGGCAAACTTTACAGTTATTCTGCAGAAAAAAATACTGTAGGAACTATGTGACAATGTCTAGATTATATTGAACAAAATATGTTTGTGAAACACTATATGCCCAGCAACAACAAAATTCGAAACAGCTATTTTTAGCACATTGGTCACAGTCAAGGTCACAGTCATTGCCCTTGGTGCCATTTGAAAGAACTTATTTAGTGAAGTTTGCATACCAAATATGCAATCTTTATCTCCTTTGGTTAAAAAATTAAGGCAAAAGTACGACAAGGCTATTTTAAGCATACAGGTCAGAGTTAAGGTCAGAGTGAACGACCTTGATGCCATTTGGAAGAACTTACTTAGTGGAGTGTGCAAACGAAATATGAAGTCTATATATCCTCTGGCAAAGGTACAAAAAGACTATTTTTAGAATAAAGGTCACAGTCAAGGTCATAATGGCCATTGCCCTTGGTGTCATTTGAAGGAACTAAGGAGTATGCATATTAAATATGATGTCTCTATCTTTCATGGTTCAAAAGTTACAGTGTATTTTTAAGAAAGCTACATGTATTTAGCATTTATAAAGGTTACAGTCAAGGTAACAATGTTATTGACCTTGGTGTCTCTTGAAAGAACTCAATAAGTGAAGTATGCATACCAAATATATATGAAGTTTCTATCTTTCATGGTTCAAAAGTTGTGGCACAGGTTAAAGTTTGCAGACAAAAATCTATTTTTAGCATATAGGTCTCAGTGAAGGTCAGAATGTCATTGATCTTGTGTCATCTGAAAGAGCTAGATAAGTGAAATATGCATACCAAATTAAATATGAAGTCTCTGTCTTTCATAGTTCAAAAGTTATGGCAAAGGTTAAAGTTTTCAGACAAACAGACAGACAGGACAAAAACAATATACGCCCCGAATCTATCGATGCATGAAAAAAAACACAGTAAAACCCCAGTCACATTTCCAAAAACGACCAACGGCCAACGTGTTTTGAAGCAAAAATGGGATTCTTCGGGTGGCAGTCGACAGTTTATCGGCCGTTGTCTTGGCCGATTTTGACCTATTTTTTTGTCGGCCGACCAATTTTGTGTCCATCGGTCCAAGTTATAATTTTTCATGCCTCGGTGGCTGATTTCTTCAAGAGCATTTATCCGTCGACCAACCTTCGATCATCGTCCGACGATCGGATGTCAGTTTATTAAGTCGGTCGTCCGTCGTTGGACAATAAGGGTGTTGAAAATTTCGACCGACGGTTAAAATCATACTGTAGCTCAGAGCTCGATGATCGGGCGACGATTGGCCGACTTGTGAATATTTAACCTATTAAGGATACGTACACAAACAAAATTTTGATGCATTGATTGATATAAATTTTTTGAACGGAGATAACATAAATAACTAATCCGTAACATATAAAGACATCTTAAGTATTCTTTGCTGCTTAAATATGCACCATTTGTCAATTCCATACAAAGAATGAATCCTTTTAACACTGCAATTTCGCCCCTTTTTAAATGCAGAATTTTACCCTTTTAAATAAGAACATTTTTATCTTATAGCTAAAGTCTTCAAGTATAGTCTGTATAGATACTAATAAAGAATTTTTTTGGAAAGAGACTTTTAATATATACATGATATCGATTAAATAAAGTCGCATATTTCACAGTAAAACTTCGCCATTCGCTATATATAGGCCATTGTAGTATTAGCATTTGAATGGGAAGGCGTGGCGTCTATCAAGCGTGCGATTAGTATGAATACATTAGCGTGTGTTCGAAGTGTACTACATTTTATGATGAAGTGACACCTAAAAGCCCTTTTTTAGTGCAAGAGACTGAACTCATATAAGCATCTTTTTTTTAATTTGTCAGGTTTAATTTTTTCTGCTTAAATTACAAGTTATATTAGAAATTCGTCAAATTATTTATATTTAAATATACACAATGGAATTGTGAATAGAACGTATAATGCAGGATTCACTCTTTTTCATACTTAAAACGTTATTTTGATAGAGATAAAAATCAATCCATGAAAGCTTATAATTAATTTGCTTTTTACAATCACGTGAATAATTATTTCATATCATGTACATATATATAATTTTGCGAAGTTGGTGTGCTACAACAAATGCGGTTGAATTGTGATATAAAACTTCACTCTGTGTATGAAAAATAAATTCCAAGAAAGTGAAAATTAAACGTCAGTTTAACGTCAATATTATCGTTGCTGTATATAAAAAAACCTTCAGTGTTAGACAAGTGTACTTTGTACATTCCAGATTGCATTGTTAAATAAATTCTCGTCCTCTAGTGAGATAAACAATGAACCATTTCAAACAAAAAATTGCCCTTTATCATTCGATTTATTGTTACATACTAATATTTATATTTAAATCTTTCATTGTTGTTAGATTTTGTCCTGATGTAATTAAAAAGTTATAACATTTGTTGTGTCGTCAGATGAAACCCGGAGTTTCCCTCTATTAATTTATAATTAATTACATGTAGGGGTGCATTTTGTGTAATGTTTTTCATACGATATATAAATCTTTTTTTAAATGCCTCACACATCATTTTCTTTTCCGTAAGGATTCTTTAATTGGAATTAAGCATTTGTAACAAACGGTTTATTTTCTAAAGATATGATAAATTGGTATTTTTTCAAATAACGATCGTAATTTTTTTTTTATCTTCCAAGAGTCAATGAACGTAACGCTGATGTGATGTACATGTATGCAAATTGATAATATATATATACCCTCTGGCAGTATTTTTTTTTCATATACTGTACTAGCTTTAAGCTACAAGCCTTCAAAATATATTGATTAATACAGGAAAAAAAATCAAACAAAATTGACTGAAATAACAAGTAAATCAAAAATGTGAACAAGTCTTAAATATACCGTTTTAAAGAAATTTTATCCCATGGTACTTTAAATTCTAAATTTTATCCCATGGTACTTTAAATTCTAATTACCAATTTGAAAAGGAATTGACCATCGATAGCTCGCAACACTGGACACGATGTCGCATTGATCTGCTCAAAGCATGAAAGTGAATAGATTTGAGTCACGTGTTCAATGCTTTGTTATGCATGAGGTCAACGGCGGGTTGAAATTTGTAAACAAGGTGCCTTTACTATAGAGACAGGTACCCGTGATTTTTGCACTTTTTTGGAAAATAACATGTGAGCGCACGACTGTTTCAATTTCTTTCATGAATTAAAATGACAAGTTTAACTCTTTACATTGACCCTATTTACTACAACTTGAAACATCAATGCGCTCATATAAAAATTGGGCTTTCAAAATGGGGGTGTGGCCTAAAGTCTATAGGAAATCGATGTAAACAACATACCCCTGCTATATTAATCAGATAAATACCCAATTACAGTGCAAGTATGTGAAAATTGAAAATGAAATTGATAAACTACAATGTTTGATGAAAAGATTAAGAAAAAAATATGTAGGAATTCTTTAAACTTATTTTTTGTAAATTATCGGGGGGCCAAATGTGGACGTTTAAACGATTCATTCTTTTACACACATTTTCAACACTGAGTCACAATTTTATAAGATTCTGCCACTTTGCGTTGCAAACATTACTCACGTCATCTATCTGAATATAGATCTATGAAAAAATATTGCTGATTTCTAAAGAAAAAGATTTTTTTGTGTTATTTATCCAAGTCATCGGTGTCCCTAGGAAATAATGTGACTGCTCCGTGTCGCCGAATACTGTGTCGGCCGATCCTGTTCTTTTAGCCGACAAGACCAGAAAAATTTAATCGCCCGACCATCGGCTTAAATGTGACCTAGGCATAAAAGAGTTCAAGATTTACCTAAAACTTGGCCTAAAGATTACTTACGCATGTATGTGTGATTCTGATAAAAGATCAGAAGGTCAAATGTAATAAAAAGATGAAAAGATAAAAGAAAGATGAATTATTTTTCAAATTTTTTATTAGCTCACCTGAGTTGAAGGCTCAAGTTAGCTTTTCTGATCACATTTTGTCCGGCGTCCGTCTAGCTGTCTGTTGGCTTGTCTGTCTGTAAACTTTTCATATTTTCACTTCTTCTCAAGAACCGCTGGGCAATTTCAACCAAACTTACCACAAAGTATCCTTGGGTGAAGGGGATTCTAGTTTGTTCAAATGAAGTTCCACGCCCTTTTCCAAGGGGAGATATTTATGAATTAACGAAAAATTAATGGAATTTTTAAAAAAAATCTTCTTCTCAAGAACCACTTGGCCAGGAAAGACGAAACTCATGTGAGGTCATCCTCAGGTAGTGAAGATTCAAGTTTATTCAAATCATGACCCCCGGGTCTAGGGTGGGGCCAAAATGGCCGACCCAATTTTTACATAGGAATATATAAGAAAAATCTTTGAAAATCTTTTTCACCAGAACCACTGGGCCAGGAAAGATGAAACTCAAGTGCAATCATCCTCAGGTAGTATAGATTCAAATTTGAACAAATCATGACCCCCCGTGGCTAGGGTGGGGCCAAAATGGCCGACCAAAGTTTTACAGAGGAATATATAGGAGAAATCTTTAAAAATCTAAAGATGAAACTCATTTGGAATCATCCTCAGGTAGTGTAGATTCAAGTTTGCTCAAATCATGACCCCCGGGGCTAGGGTTGGGCCAAAATGGCCAACCCACGTTTTACATAGGGATATAAAGGGAAACCTTTTAAAATATTCTTGTCAAGTACTTCAAAGCTATGATTAGTGATATTTATATGGAATCATCCTCAGGTAGTGTAGATTCTAGTTTGTTCACATTATGAATGCCATTCAAGCCCGATGTGCTCAGGTGAGCGCTGTGGCCCCTGGGCCTCTTGTTTAAATTTGTGACATGCAAACTTTGAATGTTCAGTATTAGTAAAGATTCAAATGAGCTGAATCATGACCTTGAAAATTAAACCAAGGTCATTGAATTAAACTTATCATAATTCCATTATAAACTTGAACAACTCTTTTAAATTCATGTACAGAGAGAGATAGAGAGAGAGAGAGAGAGGTTAGACCTTCGTGCCTGACTTGTTCTAAATTTCATTAAATAAGTTGGATCAGCTAAGCAAATGATGTTCAAAGCTTGTTTGTAATTTATAGAAATTAATAGAATGATTAAAAAGAAAAAAGAATCAAATATTTTGTTTTGTTTTGCAGTAAACACATCAAGCCAAAAACAACGCTTTAAAGTTAAAATTGATGAATCAAGCGAACAAAAGAGTATTTCAGAACAGCCTGCAGTTTTATTAGGTGACATGAAAAGGTTGAACGTTAAAGAGAAAGGATATCAAAAGGAGACAGGTAGTAGAACAAGTGATAAAGAATCGTCCAGTGATGAAGAAATGGCACATGAGAGCTTGAATTTGGCTGAATCACGTAAAGGAAATGAAGCTGCTGCCTTCCTGGAAAAGGAAAAGGAAATAGTTGAAGACGGCAGACAAAATGTTCCTGAGAAGTCAGAAATATCAGGAATTTTACATGTTTCCAAAGATGTATCGGGTGATCCAGAGAAAAAAATTACTATGGTGGACTTTGCAGGGCAGTGTTCATATTATGCCTCACACCAGATATTTCTTAGTCCTCGTGCTTTCTTCATTCTGGTGCTGAATATGGAGAAGAAGTTTGATGATATGGTTGGAAAAGAAGTCTGTAGCCAGGAAGGTTCCATTTACGAAGGATGGACACATAAAGGTATGTTTTTATTACATAATAAGTGTTTATTATATGCATTTGTCTTGTTTCTATTGAAGCAAATGCATTATAAGCATGCAATACTTTCTGCTTAATTTTATAATTGATAAGCAGTCTCATTTGAAGTCATCATTTCGTAAGTTCTATGGCAGATACAATAACCTTGTCAGCTAAAACAATTTATAATTGAGTCCAAAAACTGATTAGTTTTTCACTATTTGTTAGTCCATATTTATACACAGAATTGGCAATGGATATACCCTAATTTCCCGACCATGACAAGGAGCATACGGTGGGTATGACTGACGGGCATGGGATGTTCACTCCTGCTTGACACCTGATCCCAGTTCTGATGTTTTGGAGGTCCATGTTTGCTTTGCTCCTTTTTTGTATTCTTCGTATTCGGACTTTTGATCTTGAATACTCCTTCTTATCTCCATTTTTTGCTCTTCTGAGCCAAAGGCTCAAAGAGCTAATGATATGGCCATTTGTGCAGTGTGCGTTAACTTTTTAGAATATGGGCCGTAACTCAAGAACCCCTTGATGACCAATCAGTGTCAAATTGGCCTAAGGGTACCATTTGTATTAAAATAAGGGTTGGGACCCTTAAACAAGGGGAGATAATCGGGAAAACAAAACCAAAAGTACTGGTTGCTAAAAAATCTTCTCCAGAACCACCGGGCAGATTTTCAACAAACTTACATACAAAGATCAGGATATGTCAAAGATTTAAATTTGCACGGGGAATTACTCAGGGGCAAAGGGCATGGTCTCAAGGTCACTTCAAAGTTGACCTAAATTTACAATTAATCAAACGTTTAATATATTTTGCTTGCTATAAGAACTAGGATCATCAAATCTTGTAAGTTGATGCATCTTAGGACTTCACATCATGTTAAGTCAAAAGTAGGTCAGGGTGAACTACTTTTAAAAGTTTGTGGGCATTTGTTTTCAATATGATTTGAAGGCATATTTTGGACACTTTAAGGCCTATGATCATCAAACTTTGTCTGTTGATGTATCTTGGGTCTTCGAACAACGTCAACTTAAAAGTAGGTCACCGTGACCTTACCTTTTGAACTTTATAACTAATCCTCTTAAACATTTAATCCCATTATTGAGACACTGAAAAGTTTAGAATCATCAAATCTGGTAAGTTATTGGGACATCTGGTAAGCATCTTGGGACCTTAAAACATCTTCATTAAAAAGGAGGTCACTGTGACCTACTTTTTGAATTTTGCAGGCATTTGTTAATTTTGTCAAATTGTTTAAAAGGCATATTTTGTTTATCTTCAGACCTACAATCATCAAACTTGGTCAGTAGATGCATTTTTGGACTTTGAAAAATGTCAACCAAATTGTAGGTCACAATGACCTACTTTCAACATTTTATGGCCTTATTTAAGTATCTTAGGTATTTATTGGCTTAGAATCATCAAATTTTTTGAGTCGATGCCTTTTGGGTTTTCAGAGAGCAACCAAAAAGTAGGTCACAGTGACCTTCTTTTGACATTTTATGGCTTTATTTAAGTATCTCCGTTACTTATTGGCCTAGAATCATCAAACTTTGTCAGTTGATGCATCTTGGGTTATCGGAAAGTAATGACCAAAAATTAGGTCACTGTGACCTACTTTTGCGGTTTTGTGGCTATATTCAAGTATCTCTGGTAATTATTGATGTAAAATCATCAAACTTTGTCAATTGACGTACTTGGGTTTTTAGAGATTGTCGACCAAAAAGTAGGTCACAGTGACGTACTTTTGACATTTAATGGCTATATTTAAGTATCTCAGGCACTTATTGGCTTAGAATAATCAAACTTTGTCAGTTGAGGCATCTTGGGTTTTCTGAGAATGTTGATCAAAAAGTAGGTCATGGTGACCTACTTTTGAATATCTCAGGTACTTATTAGCTTAGAATCATCCAATTTTTGGGAGTTGAACTATGTTCAATCTCCCATGGTCATCACTTATTTAACATGCCCAGTAATTTGTGTTGATTGTATAGAGCCGAAAGCGAGGCTACTGTGTCGGCTGATTTACTCCGATGATATTCAACAGAAAACATGCATAAACATCCGCCACAAATAGTTCATTTCATTTTCTCCTGAATTGATCTAATTTTCATAATTTGAAATGTAAGTAAATGTTATAATGATAAAGTAATCTTATTTTGAATATCAGATTTCGTTCAAAGTAAAACTAAATTATAAAGAACCTCAAAAGTTTTTCGTAATGGAACTCATTTTTTTTGTGGCGTCATACACTGAAAAAGATACGATCAACAACTCTACATACTAACGGCAAGCGGTATAGTCGTCCTGACGCCCGACGGTCCCGGATTTTTAGCAATTTTTTTTTACCGGTGCACAGAATTTATTCAAAATTTTCATGAACATTTTCTTTGTTTAAATGAATTCATTAATGCATAAAAACTTTAGGAAACATGCGTATTTATTACTAAATCAGCAGTATCACCTGCCAAAAGCGGTAAATCTAGTAGTCTGTTATAAATGTTAAAACCAAAAAAACGGACACTGATGTTTTCGTAAAATCATTTCGTAAATACAACAAAATGTTTTTTTTAATAAAAGGAAAACCTCATTTAAATACCAGATAACTCGTACGCACACAAACTCTCACATATACCACTGTTTTTATGTTTGGTCATTAAATATTTGTTTTAAACTTGGTGTTGCTTTTTTCTTCACAATATTAAAAAAGATTAAGTTCTGACGTACTCCATGTATATTGTTCGTGTAATTGGAATACATTTATATTCACAGAGAAGTTTTATATAACAACCTTTTAGCTCTTAAAAGGATGCTGTGTTAAAATCCACACTTTATCAACATTGATATTATTCCTGCGAAACTGAAATAATCATAACACATGGATAAAGGTGCTAAGGAAAAATATCTTACAAATTTGAAGACTGTGAGCAGTGAATTATATAAATGATCAACCGCCTCTAATATAAATATAATAGCAGTGTCCATGTTTTGCAATGGGAAACCCAAAATATGTGTAGGATGGAAAAGTATAATAGAAGGTGCACAATGGCAATATGTAATAAAGATTCTATGAAAATTTCGTTCAGTGGTGTAAGAGGAGTTGCGGATAAGGGATGGGTATACCTAACAAACAGATAGACAGAAATTCCGATTAATAAATACCCTCCCGCTTTTCAAGCAGGGGGTACAAAAAAAGGACTAATGTAGGCAGGCAACAATATGGCCCTGCATTTTTTTGCTATTCAATGTCTCCGAATGTCTTTCTCAAGATTTTTGCAACTCAAAAAATCTGAAACAGTTGTCTTTATTTGAAATAATAATATTGTTCACTCACTTAACCTCCCGATCAAAGATTTTATTTAACACCACGTTCAACTCCCATGAGTGCTTTCAGTACTTTGATTTTAATTTAGGCATCTCGGGTTTTCGGAAAGTGACGACCAAAAATTAGGTCACCGTGACCTACTTTTGACATTTTTATGCCCCGCCATGAATATGGCCGGGGCATATAGTGTTTGTCACGTCCGTCTTCCGTCCTTCCATCCTTCTGTCCTTCCGTCTTCCGTCACACTTTGTGTTTAGCTGTGTTCAAAGCTAAGTTTCAAAGAAACTATCCAAGATATTTGCATCAAACTTCATATGCTGATAGATATTGATGAGAGCTATGCAACTGCATCAACATTTTTTTTTACCTTGACCTTTCCTTTGACCCTGACCTCACTTCTTAAATTAGTGTTTAGCTCAGTTTTAAACATATCATTCAAGATGGTGCTATCAAACTTCACATGTTGTCAGATACAAACTAGCACGAATGATGCATCTAGTGATGAACAATACCAGACTTGCTTCGGATGCTGGATCTGACCTACATTTTCCAGATGAGTGACCAGGTTAAAGTTTTTTGAGCAGGTCCATTCCTAAGGAACTATAATCCCTACTCGGACCAAACTGGCATGGATGATGCATCTAAGGATGGAAACTACCAGACTTGCTTCGGATGCTGGATCTTATCTACATTTTCCAGATGAGTGACCAGGTTAAAGTTTTTGGAGCAGGTCCATTTCCAAGGAACTATACAGACTGCTACCCAAACCAAACTTGCACGGATGATGCAGCTAGTGATGAACACTACCAGACTTGCTTCGGATGCTGGATCTGACCTATATTTTGATTCCCAAGTAAATATATGCCCTACATGAACCAAACTTGCATGGATGATGCATCTAGGGATGGATACTACCAGACTTGCTTCGGATGCTGGATCTGACCTATATTTTGATTCCAAAGTAACTATAAGTCCTACCTGAACCAAAATTGCATGGATGATGCATCTAGGGATGGACACTACCAGACTTGCTTTGGATGCTGGATCGGACCTTTATTTTGATTCCCAAGTAACTTTAAGCCCTACCTGAACCAAACTTGCATGGATGATGCATCTAGGGATGGACACTACCAGACTTGCTTTGGATGCTGGATCTGACCTACATTTTATTCCCTTATAACTATAAGCCCTACCTGAACCAAACTGATCAAATTTTATAAACATACAAATTTTCATGTTGCTTTACTAATATATCATCGTGCTTTACTAATATATCATCGGCGGGGCATTCATGTCCTATGGACATATTTCTAGTATGGTTATAATTAATTATATCAGGTTTTAATTTGCTCGGAATCATCAAATTTTGTAATTTGAGTCATCTTAGGGTATTGGAGAATGTCGACCAAGAATACAGGATGAAAATCCACCATTCAGTCGACTGAATGGTAACTGAATGGCCACTGAATGGTCACTGAAAGGTCACTGAAAAGACCCTTTCCCGTGACTTTTCCGTGATCATTCAGTTACCATTCAGTCGACTGAATGGCACATACATTTCAGTGACCTTTCCGTGATCATTCAGTTGAATCTTTTTATTGAATAATCGGCTTATTTTTTTCCCTAAAAATTTTATTTTACTTTTCCCTGGTATTATATATTTAGCATTAAATGTATCTAAATCCAAAATAAAAAAAAAAATAGGAAAAAATTAATACAAGAAAAAAAATTGCTTCTATGCCGAGATTCGAACTTCGGTCTCCTGCTCAGGTGTCCGCGACCTTATCGATTACGCTACGATTTCTTGTTAAGAATTGAGGATTTAATATCAATTTATTGATAGAAATCGATAGAACAATCAGTCCACCTGTTGTATCGAGGAGCTGCGATGTGTATATATCTTGTATATCTTTTGTATATTCTATGTTAGTTGCGCGGATTTTGGGAACAGACTAATTAATTACACATCTCCTATCGGGATGATGACAATTATCAGAGACGGGCACCTGTTCCTGTGTCAAAGATTTAAGATCGTTGTATATAAATTCTCTATCTAGAAACTTAGTAGAATGATTTTATTAAATCAATATCATTAAGAAAGCTAAAATCTACTATATTTTTTTTTTCTACAAGAGGCATGTATATACGATTTATTTATTCTTGTAATTAAAATTGAATTGAAAATAATGTCTTTCAAAAACTAAATATCCTGCAGTTTTGACAATGACATAATTAAGAAACGAAATTGATCAGTAAATACTTGCGATCTTCAAGAAATGGTTTAAATAATATAAATTCTGTCTGATCAATCAAAACTATATATTTCCATGAAAAAATACACGTATAAGCACTATAGAATGTTATGCATTTATTTAAATTTTGAATCGGTTATCGGATCATAATTTTTTATCACTTGAAGAATTTTTGTTTTCTAAATGTAGCTAGAATATTAAAAATCATTTTGAATAAGTCTCACATATTTTATAAAATTATAATAATTACTTAGACATATTCTAAGGTACCCGAATTTGATCACGATAAGTAAAAAAAACCATAATTAAGATTGAATAATAAATCTTTATTCAAAATATTGCTTCCTTGTTAAGGAAAAATATCTGATTATAAAATAATACGCTAGTGAAAAAATTGCTACATTGAGACTTAAATATCACTGAAAGGTGGCGGAAAGGTCACCGAAAGACGACAGAAAGGTCACTGAAAGTCGACGGAATGGTCACTGAAAGACGACAGAAAGGTCACTGAAAGTTGATGGAAAGGTCACTGAAAGTTGAAGGAAAGACCACTGAAAGTTGACGGAAATGTGTCCGCTGAATGGTGACTGAAAGGTATCTGAAATGTGACTGAAAGGCAACTAAAAGGTCACTGAAATGTGTGTGCCATTCAGTGGCTGAATGGCCACTGAAAAGTTACTGAAAGCCGCCTTTCAGTTTTAACTGAAAGGTCTTGTTTCTTCCTGTGGAAGTAGGTCATGGTGACCTAATTTTGAATATCTCAGGTACTTATTGGCTTAGAATCGTCAAACTTTGACAGTTTAGGCATCTTGGGTTTTCGGAGAACGTCGACCAAAACGTAGGTCACAGTGACCTACTTTTGACATTTGATGGCTTTATTTAATTATATTTTGTACTTATTGGCTTGGAATCATCAAACTTTGTCAGTTGAGTCATCTTAGGGTATCGGAGAATGTCGACCAAGAAGAAGGTCACGGTGACCTACTTTTGAATATGTCAGGTACTTATCGGCTTAGAATCATCAATCTTTGTCAATTATTGTATCTTGAGTCATCAGAAAATTTCAATTAAAAGGTTGGTCACTGTGACCTACTTAAGGTATTTTATAATTATATTATATTTTTTTTCAGTCTTAACTGGCTAAATATTATCAACCTTTGTCATTTCATGCATTTTGGGTCTTATGATACTAACAGAGTTCAAGGCTTCTAATAGAAGTGATAGATTGTACAATTTATCAGAAGAGTGATCCAAGGCCCTTAGGCATCTTGTTCATTATAAACAGGTAGACCAATCTTAAGAATTTCATAATTATGCATGTATATACATGATAGAAAACTGTCACTTAATTTGAGAAAGTTTGCAGCTCATCTGAGACTTAAGTATCCTTGTGTAAAGGGAATTCAAGTTCGTACAAATGAAGGGCCACATCCTCCAAGGGGGGATACTTACATGTATGATGTCTTGAAAATTAATGGAATCATTTATAAACGCAACACAGTTAAGGTGCGCAATGGAAATATCGACTAAATTTTGTATTTAAAAATGTATTCGTAATCGGGATGGCGATTATGTTATTACATCATTTATATCGGATAATTGTAATTATGATTAATAAATACATATCGAGGAAGATTATATTTTATATTGAGACTAGTCACATGATGCGACAGTCAAGCGATTTTAGCACATTGACATAAAGTATTGATGTTACATATAAATATCACTAGTGCAAGGCCATAACCAAGTTAAATTTCAAAGTTTAGTATAGAAATATTTTCAACAGGCATTGTAGTTTCTAAAAAGTGCTGCGATCCTGTCTAAATTCTGCAATTTTATTGTTAAAATTTTACTTGTATGACCGAATGCTATATTTTTTGCTGGTCAGTGGCATGAAATATTGATATAATTAAATTGTTTTTAAGATTTCATCAGGATCGCAGCACTTTTCAGATACCTTAATAGTTCTATTGTTGAAATGTAAAAGCTTACTTTGATCCATAGAGTGTATGCCCTTGCACTAGATCGATTTATTAAGACCCCCCCCCCATTACCCTCCGATGTATTTGCATACAAATATACGGCAGTGTCAATTAAATACGTAATGTACAGAAAATATATTAATAAAAAAGTGAAAAAGACATTAAGTTCGAGTTATTGGCCCATAGAATATCTGTAAATAATATTTTATTTAATTAGAGAATACATATTTTGTTCAGAAAATATTACTTGATCTGTCTCTCACTGCACATAAACTACGTCACTTTGTAAGAAATGACGTCATATTGACAAGTGTATTGCGATCAGTGACTTGTTTATAACTTGTAATGTTGGATTTAACTAACGACAAAACAACACGCTGTAGTAAGTTTTTATGTAGTTTGATGATTTCTTACTGGTTAAATTAGCAGATAAACTCATTTTGTTGTATTTTAAAGAAATGTTGTATGACGTATATTGTGTATGATGTCATAGTCAAGATTTCCCGTACAAATTAGGCTCCGCCTCCTCTTTGTAACCTTAACTGTGCTGCGAATCTTTTTAAGGTTTACATCTAGAATGTCTTCAGACTTTCTGTTGCTGTATCTATTATGACGTCATTATTACTTTAAACTTTCTTTTTCCCGTACTTTACGGAACCAATAGAATTATGTAGAAAATGAAGTATTTTCATGGAATGTAATAAGAAATCTCATGAAAAGTAGTCCGGATACCTATATTAAACTTGACTTAATTTAAGGAAGATACCAAGAACATACAAATAACCGTTTTCTGAGAGACTGTAGGTAATCTGGATACATTTTCTTCGTCTGATACAGAAAAAAAAAATCCATATTCATGTATATATGAATTTCTTAATTATTCATTGAAAATCACAGTTAAAAATGTGATTTTTGCATCTTGTTTATTTACAAAATTTATGCCCCATAACACCTTATTTATCCATTCTTACCTTGTAAAGCATCATTAAAGAATCTCTTCACTTTTCATTGACTAGATCTTGACCTTAAAAAAAACTGTGTTTGAAAATATTAACATTTTATGGAATTCCTGTGAGATAGTGAGATAGTTTAGATCCAAATTTGTTCAAATAATGATCCTTGGGGGAAGGGCTGGGCCACATTGTATGATCAAAGTGTTGCATAAGAATATACGGTAAACTTTTAAATTGGGTGGGGCCACAAGGGATGATCAAAGTTTTACATAGGAATTAATAAGAACAATCTTATTTAAACTGCTTATGAGTGAACTATCAGTTTTCTTTAAATGATTAAGTCAAGAGTGTAGGGTTGGACTAAATTGAAAGAGCAGAATCGTTGTGTAACTGTTCATTTTTATTTTATTCAGATTATCTCACATTCTGGACCAAGTCCATTCATCAATACAGCAGTGAAAAGGCTCCTGTTTTACTGGTGGGCACTCATGCTGAACAAAAGACAAAGGAGGTATCTGAGAGAAGTGTGAAAGCTTGTTTAGCTCTTATATGCCGAAGGAGCAAATAAAATTTTTAGCTCAAGTGAGCTTTTCTGATCACATTTGTCCGGCGTCCGTCTGTCTAGCTGTCTGTCTGTCCGTCTGTCTCTAAACTTTTCACATTTTCGTCTTCTTCTCAAGAACCGCTGGGCCAATTTCAACCAAACTTGGGACAAAATACCCTTGGGTGAAGGGGATTCAAATTTGTTCAAATGAAGGGCCACATCCTTTTCCAACGGGAGATAACTATGAATTAGAGAAAAATAAATGGCATTTCAAAAAAAATCTTTTTCTCAAGAGCCACTGGGCCAGGAAAGATGAAACTCATGTGGAATCATCCTCAGGTAGTGTAGATTTAAGTTTGTTCAAATCATGACACCCCGGGTTAGGGGGGGGGGCAAAAGTGGCCGACCAAAGTTTTACAATGGAAATATAGAGAAAATCTTTAAAAATCTTCTTCTCAAGAACCTCTGGGCCATGAAAGATGAAACTCATGTGGAATCATCCTCAGGTAGTGTAGATTCAAGTATGTTCAAATCATGACATAGGGGTTAGGGTGGGGCCAAAGTGGCCGACCAAAGTTTTACATAGGAATATATAGGAAAAATCTTTAAAATCTTCTTCTCCAGAACCCCTGTGCCAGGAAAGATGAAACTCATGTGGAATCATCCTCAGGTAGTGTAGATTCAAGTTTGTTCAAATCATGACCCTCCGGGGCTAAGGTGGGGCCAAAATGGCCGACCAAAATTATACATAGGGATATATAGGGAAACCTTTTAAAATCTTCTTTTCAAGTACTTCAAAGCCATGGTTAGTGATATTTATATTGAATCATACTCAGGTAGTGTAGATTCTACTTTCTTCAAATCATGACCCCCGGGGGGTTAAAATTCAAGCACCTTCAGTAAACTTTTCGTTCTGATCTGATATGTGCTTTTTTCTAGCCGATGTGCTCAGGTGAGCGCTGTGGCCCCGGGGCCTCTTGTTGGATACATGAACCAACAACCTTGATCTTTTGACCTTGACCTTGGAGATTTCCATACTTGTGAAAAATACTGTAACCTTGGCCATAATTTTTGAACAGTAAGGGATAGGGCTTTCATTCTTCACATATATATAATCCTTGTCAAAAGACCCTTCATTGGATACCTGAATACTAATTACCTTGTCAATGACCTTTTGACCTTGACCTGAGAAAATTGTGCTTATGAAAAAAAATTATCTTTGCCCATAACTTTTGAATTCTAAGGGCTAGTGGTCTCATAGTTCACTTATGTAATCCTCTGAGAAGACCCTTCATTGGATACCAAGAAATTTTACCCTTTGACCTTGGAGTTTGACCTACTTGTAAAAAGAAAACCTTGACCATTCCTTTTAAAGGATTAGGGCTAGTGCTTTCATACTTTTCATATTTATTCCTTGTGACAAGACCTTTCATTTTATAGCAAGAGCTTCGACCTTGACCTTCGAGTTTGGCCTACTTTTTAAAATTTTAGCCTTGGCCATAACTTCTGAACCTCTTTAAAGGGTTCACCACAGCTCATGTTATTTCTGTTGCATTGTATATATGTGTCAACTATAAATAAAATTTCCTGACTTGACTTGACTGAACGGTAAGGGCTAGAGCTTCCATACTTCACATATGTATTTGTTGTGGCAAGACAATTTCTTGGATACCAATAACCTTGTCCTTGAAGATTTCTGTTCTTATGAAAAAAAATTTAACATTATGGCCTATTTTCATATTTCACAATTGTATTCCCAGTGAGAATACCCTACTTTTGGTACCAATATATTAAATTTGGGACATTAAAGAAAATTTTAATCTTTGCTTTGTTGCCATACAGGGGCATCAGTGTTTCACAAACACATCTTGTTTAATACTGAACTGCATTGCGTTGTTTTTCCTAGCTTCTTTGCACATGTGATGAATAGGCATTCATGTCTTTATACAAATATAAAGATAAATATAAGAAAAACCTTTTCAAGAGAAGCAATGATATTAATAATCATATTAAAATTGAAGCATTACTTAGCTTGCTTAGGTAGCTTGAGATTCAGACATGTTTAAATCATAATCCCAATGCGCATTAATGTGTTTAAGCTCAGTAGGACTAAAATTTACCTGTCAACGTTATATATAGTGTAGTGGAGTCGTATATTTTAATTAGAGTTATCTCTCTTGGATCTTGGATGGGGTGCGCGGTTGTCATTGACAACCGGTGCCACCGTCTGGGATCCGGGCGTTTCCGTTCCGCGTCCCTAATCAGTTCGTTCTTTTTAACTACCAGACTTAGACGTTTTTAGGAGTTTGTCTCCAATTTATTTATTTATCTACATATTTATATTGTTACCGTAATATTATTTGGTCAATTCCGATTGCTGAAGTGCTGACACTATCTATAAAGGTAAATACTCGACTACATTTCCCTTGCATTTCATTGTTTACTTGAATATTGTTTTGTTATTTGTTGATTAATAAAATACTATTTATTAAATAAATCAAAGTCATCTATCATATCTGAATAATCGTTATTGTTCTTTATTGTTTACGATCTAGATCTAGTATCTCGTGATAATCCGGGATAATTTTAAGTGGACTTTATTACAGACCACTGTTACAGAAATTTTGGGGGCTTCGTCCGCGGGATACTATGATCAGATCATGTTCTTGTTTTGTTGACATTGTTCATTTTTTCCGTTACTTTTATTAGGCCTGGTGTGATTTTTCATACAGCAATGGCCTCACGTTTATTTGAAAGTCTCAGTACAAGTTTGCGAAATTTGTTTTCGCCTCGCCCTACTACTTTTGAGAGTAATCAAACACAAAATGTGAACCATAATCATATTGTGTCAGGGTCAGATTTGTCAGAGAATAACATGAATGAGAGAATTGTTTTACCTTGTACTTGTTCCTCCGAATTGAATAATCAAGATCAGTTTCATGACGCAGTTGAATTCCCCATGAATACACAAAATAACAAACGCGGAGGTCTATCCTCACAAGAAAGTCAAAATCATCATCAATTTCAGTCAGCGAAAAACAGATTTTGTATGACACAGGGTGATCCCTCCTTAGAATTTCAATTTGCAGATCAATGCAAAACCCCAAACAAAGAGACTTTGTTCTCAGAGAAATTGTGCGAGAATGATGAGAATTCGCAGGTCTTTCAGTCCTATACACCACAGAAAAACAATATCCCTGCCCCGAACACACAGTATCGTTCCTCGTCAACACTTAAACAGCGTGGTTTGTTCCACAGTGAACCGACAACTTCTAGTCACATGATCAATAGGGGTTTCCCAAGGAATGCGGAAGCTTCCGGTGTACAATCAATTCATACACCAATACATTCAACCCCGTGTTTTGAACACAAAGTCCAACGCCCAGAAATTCCCTCTCAAAATTCATTCAATGTTGTTAGAAAAGAAAAAGAACCTGATAAGTTCGATGGGAAAAATGTAGAGTGGCCCGACTATTTAACACATTTTGAACAGGTCGCTTTGTGGAATCAATGGTCAGATGACGAGAAGGCCATACAGTTAGCCATGTCGCTTCGTGGCACCGCACAACGAATACTTAGTGAATTAGCACCGGAACAATTATCAAATTTTTCGTGTCTTAAATTTTCTCTAGCACAGAGGTTTTGTCCCTCTGAACGAGAAACCGCACATAGATGCGAATTTAGGGCTCGAAAAAGACTCAGGGGAGAATCCGTCTCAGATTATGGGTATGCGCTTAATCGTTTGGCAAATCGTGCGTTTCCTAACATACCGATGTCAAGTCGCGAAAATTTAGTTATTGACCAATATATCAGTGGTCTCGGTGACATAGAACTAAAGAAATATGTGCAGTTTGCACACCCCTCGACTTTAGATAAAGCCATTTCCTTGGCAGTAGAGTTTGAGGCGTTTGACGGAGCGCATAACAAGACATTACTCAAACCGCGTAATTCTGAACAAGATTTTTTCTTGAATCAATCTAACGTCCGAGCCGTACAAAAAGAAGGCACTCAGAAAACTCCAAACTCTTACGCGGCAGATGAATCAGTTTTGTCTGAAATAACAAAAACCATGAAAGAACTTCAGTCTGCGGTAAACGAATTAAAACGTACTAACGAATCCAGTTCAAAACTCAAAAATACCGTGAATTCAACCATCAGGTGTTATACCTGTGGCAAATCTGGCCACATTAGTCGAAAATGTCCAGAAAGACCTCACAATTTCCCACAGCAAAATGACAAAGCTAACTCATCGCACCAGTTTCCAAAGAATAACCCAAACGCCGACGGACTGTCCTTGCGACCGAAAGTTCAGTCCATGAAGTATTAGATGAATCTCCGAAACGGTCACCGGGAAGCATTCGGTTATCGGCCTTGACAGGTTCATGCTGGTTTGCTAATGTTTTAATAAAGTCATTATGTATGCAAATGTTGATTGATACAGGGTCTGCCGTTTCACTCATTTCAAAAGATATTTTAGGAAATCTAGGTCTTTGTGACCAACACTTACAAAAAGTGTCTACCGAACTTAAAACTGCAGATGGGGAACCATTACAAGTCTATGGTCAAACTGAAATTACTTTGGGTTTGGGAAAGAAAGAGTTTAATATACCCGTAATAGTGGCAGAATTAGGTGATCTTTCAGGAATATTAGGTTTAGATTTCTTGTCTAAAAATGATGTTTTATTCGATCTCGGAGAAGGTATATTGATTTTTCCTGATTTTCAAGTCCAGCTAGTGAGTGAAGATAATTTTGCTTGTGCGCGGGTTTATCTCGCAAAAGATATAGTCATTCCAGGTTCCTCTGAAATTTTTGTAGAGGGTGATTTAGGAAATTCACGTTTTAAGAGTTTAGAAGGTTTAGTTGAACCTCACTCTGGTGATAGTTTAGGTCAGGAAATATGTGTTCCAAAGTCCCTAGTAAATGTCAGTGATGGCAAGGTCCTTTTTTCGATATTAAATCTTAACCCAGAACCTGTCCAAATAAAGAAAAACACTCAAGTGGCGACCATTCAAGGTATAACAACTGCAACCGATTTGGTTGATAATTTCGAACAAATAGAGAGTACTGAAACTCCGAAAACTGAATGTTTACCTGATCATTTAAAAATCATGTTAGACAACGTTTCGTCTGAACTTACAGAAAACGAGAAAAACGAACTAATTTCGGTTTTATACCGATATACTGACGTGTTCGTGGGTTCAGATGGAAAACTAGGTCGTACTACCAAAGTTACTCACACAATAGACACTGGTAATAATAAACCAATCAAATTACCCCCTCGAAGATTACCTTTAGCTCAGCGAGAAATAGCTGAAAATGAAATACAAAATATGCTCGAACAAGACGTTATTGAACCAAGTTTTTCTCCATGGGCATCTCCCATAGTTTTGGTTAAAAAGAAAGACGGAAGTACTCGATTTTGTGTCGATTACCGCAAATTAAATCATATAACCGTCAAAGATGCGTATCCCCTACCCCGAATTGATGAGTCAATAGATGCACTGTCAGGCTCAATGTACTTTTGTACACTTGATATGGCTAGTGGGTACTGGCAGGTGGCAATGAACGAAAACGATAAAGTAAAAACTGCGTTTGCGACTCATAAAGGACTTTACCAGTTCAAGGTCATGCCTTTTGGCTTAACAAATAGTCCTGCGACATTTGAAAGATTAATGGAATTAATATTACATAGTTTACAATGGGAACGTTGTTTAGTTTACCTAGACGATGTGATTGTTTTCGGAAAAACTTTCACAGAAACGTTATCAAATTTGACAAGAGTTTTTGACCGATTCAGGGACGCAGATCTTAAACTTAAACCTAAAAAATGTATTTTATTTCGTGAAGAAGTATCCTTCTTAGGACACGTTGTGTCAAAAGATGGTGTGAAGTGTGACCCTAAAAAGATTTGTGCAGTTCAAGACTGGAAAACCCCCGAAAATATCACAGAAATAAAAAGTTTCTTGGGTCTAGCCTCATATTATAGGAAATTTATTCCTGAGTTTGCTACAGTGGCATATCCACTCACTCGTTTGACTCAAAAAGATGTTCCATTTACATGGAATAGTTCCAGTGAAAAGGCATTTCAAACACTTAAGAAACTTTTGATTTCATCCCCAGTATTGTCATACCCAAATTGTCATGATACATTCATACTCGATACGGACGCTTCGAACGACGGAATTGGCGCCGTACTTTCACAAATTCAAAACGGCGAAGAAAGAGTCATTGCGTACGGCAGCAAAACATTATCTAAAACCCAACGCCGTTATTGTACGACCTATCGGGAGTTGCTAGCAGTAGTCGTTTTTGTTAAACAATTCAAACACTACCTATCGGGTAGAAAGTTTTTACTTCGTACTGACCATTCGTCCTTAAAATGGCTTCGTAATTTTAAGGAACCCGAGGGTATGATAGCCAGATGGATATCAGTGCTTGATACTTATGATTTTGAGATACAGCACCGTAAAGGCTCTTTGCACATAAATGCGGATGCTATGTCTAGAAAGCCCAGACGTAGATGCCGTCAAGAAAACTGCGAATGCACCATTTCTACTGTAAATGCGATACAGTCTAAAAAATCAAATCATAAGACTCGCGACGTAACAACTAACTGGTTAGATAAGTGGTCTGATGACTATGTGTCAAAACTTCAACAAAATGACCCTTCTCTAAAAACCATGAGTGAAATTATAAATAGCGGTACAAATGTTTTAGATCCGGTTTATAGGACCAATCCTGAAATTCGACAATTATGGAATTTGAAAGATACTCTTGTATCAAAAGATGGTATTTTATATCGTCAATGGTTCAGTATTCTGGAAAATATCCATAAATTATTATTAGTGGTACCCAAGTCCATAAGAAAAGAGATTATGTATCAATTACACAATCAACGTGTAGCGGGACATTTGGGTCGCGACAAAACTTTAGCTTCTATACGCGCTAGATTTTACTGGCCTGGTATGTCATCTGATGTAGAGAGATGGTGTCAAAATTGCACTGTGTGTGCACGGCGTAAACCAGGACCAGGTCCAGGCAAATCCCCGATGCAGCATTGCCCCGCATACCGACCATTACAATGCATTGCCATTGATATAATGGGCCCTTTACCCATGACAGAAAAACATAATGAGTATATAATGGTCATAGGCGATTATTTTACCAAATGGAAAGAAGCTTTTGCTCTACAAAACCATACTGCACAGACAGTTGCAGATGTCCTAATAAACGAATTTATATGTCGCTATGGTACCCCATACCGTATTCACACTGATCAAGGCAGAGAATTTGAGTCTCAATTGTTTTCTGAATTATGTGAAAAATTTGACATATATAAAACCCGAACTACTCCTTACCGGCCTCAATCAGATGGCATGGTGGAACGATTTAATCGTACCTTACAGCAAATGCTTTCCTTATTTGTCAATAAACATAGAAATGACTGGGATGACCATCTGCCCTATGTTATGATGGCCTATCGTGCCTCTCTTCATGAAAGTACAAAATGTTCTCCAAATTTATTAATGTTAGGACGTGAAATAGACTTCCCTATTGACATAATTGCTGGTAACCCACCAAATTATGAAGAATCATGCATCAATGAATACATTGAATTCGTAAAAGAAGCTATGTCTTCTGCATTTCAGCATGCTGGAGAAAGTCTTGAAAGTAGCTTTAAGCGTCAGAAAAAATATCATGATCAGAATATAAAACACAGAACTTTCAATGAAGGTGACCTAGTTTGGAGGTGGTATCCTCCTTGGGCAAAGCAAAAGTTAGGGTTAGGATGGCGTGGTCCATATAAAGTCAAAAGAAAAATCAGTAATGTCACATATCAAATACAGTGTTGTAATGCAGATGTTTTAGTTGTGGTTCATGTTGACCACCTTAAACCCTATTTGTCGGATGAGTCAGATTTATCAAATTATGAGTTTTACAATACCTTTGAGGTACAGACCGAGTATGACTCGAGTAGTGAATCACAAGAAATTATGACAAACGAACAAGAATCCTACAGGGAATGTTCCCAACACACAAGACATGGTCGTAGAATTAAACCTCCCACTCGTTTTTCACCATAAATTACAGTGTACATAACTAGGCACTTGCATGTGAATTGCATTAAATTTTCAGTTGATTATTGTTATACTAACATATCATTTTATCATGGCATATTCATTTCTCATCTTCACCCTCATTATTTGTTATGTGATAATACAGAGATGGAAAATTGAGTCTTTGAGACTAATCACTCGAAGAAATTATAACTTAAAGTTAAGATATATGAATTCATACACTCACCCTTTGAGGTCGTTTTTGTAAACAAGGGTACATGTATAAATAGTTACAAGTATACTCATGTACATGATATTGTATTCATGCATGGAGTAATTCAAGTTATTGTTTCGAAGTACAGTAGGTCCTAGTACCTGAGTCATGACTGATATATTTCAGTGTAGCATAGTGATCAGATTATTGCAATCTGTGTGCTTATACATACATAATATTTGCTATATTTGTTTGAACATAGGTTTGCTATTTTACAGTTATTGTATACTAAATAGCTTGATGCCTACATAATTATACAGTTATTGCATACTGAATAGTAAAAGTTATTGTATACTGACTAGTTACAGTTATTGTATACTGACTAGTTAGTTACCTACATATAGGAACTGATTGATGAGAAGAGACGAGATATATTCTCGACATTGAGTAAAATATATGACCTGTTGTGACTTGTCATTGTGACATTTTAGAAAGGTCCGAGTGTATGCCATTCATAGATTTTTCCTTTGGGGTTATACATTTTGTTCACAGAAAATTTTGTTAAAGAAAATATACAATACACTTTATTAGTGTTAACATATACTTAACATGGTAAGCAACATGTTTGCTATTTCCTCAAACTATGTGTTTATTTATTTACAGTTTCATTTGGATCATCCTTACAACATTTTCATCATCATCATCATTATCATCATCGTTTGATCCCATCCTTATCATCGTTTTCATCACCACCACTTTATATAGTCATGTCAATTATGGACACTGATGTCCTTGACCTTTTGGTCCACGATGAGGATCTTGCGGAACTTCTGGAATCTTCATCCTGCCCCTTTGAGTTCCATTCTGGAATGAATTGTCCTGTAGTGTCCTGTGGCTTTACCTCCTTTACCACCAGGAAGAGTTATGCCAGGCACTGGGAGACGAAGCACAAGCCCCATCATGTTATTTTCCATTGTTCCATCCCAGGATGTAAATCTACTTGCAAGAGAAAGACAGATATGCGTTTCCACCTCCGCAGTATTCATCACTTGTCCCAGCTGCCTCTAGAAAATCATCTCCAGCTGTGTCGACATGAACTCAAACCAAATAGTAATTACATTGATCCTGGCAGTTTGAAATTTGTTTCTCGTCTCCCAGTGGCTCCGATCACCAGCACCCTGGAATCTGCTCCGCCACAGGCACCTGCGACCTCATCTGCTTCTTCCGTAAGTTCCTCTACCATCAGTTCATCCTGTCTGCCATCCGCCACATCATCCGCTATCATTTCATCAGTTCAGCCATCCATCTTTGCTCCATTGCTGCCTTCATACGATGTTACACCATCCGTTGTGTCGTCTGAGACCTTGCCATCCACTTTGCCTTTCAAGTTCGGGTCATCTGAAATTCCTTCGTGTCCGCCAGTTGCTCAGCCAGACGTTCCTCCTGTACACACTACAGCCGCGACCGCGAGCCAGACCGAGGATTACGCATTCCTTTCCTTACATTCCGTCCCTGTGGAGAAAACAGATCTTGAACAGTTTGTATTCAATATTGATGTTGAAATTGATCGTTTAATTAAATTAAAAGAAATAGCTAATGCAAGATTGAATGAGAGGAGTGAGCTTTTGCATGAGAGAGAGTTGAGACGAGAGTTGGAGAGAGAGAACAGGAGACTGAGGAGTGAGATCGACAGTTTGAAAAGGGGTGAGAGTGAGCGTGAGAATGCATATTTTTCTAGAGATGAGCGTTTGGAGATGGTTGAGAGTGCGAACGGCAGTTTGAATTGTTATAGGAGAAATAGTACTAGCTTGTCTAACCGTCTTGGTAAAAAAGTTGTTCTAGAGCCTTACAGGATTTTTGAAGAATAAATGTTGGTTTTTGTTTTTATATATGTATGTCACCTCAACTTATCTTACCATTTGTCATTCATCATCATCTTCATGTTTTCATTATTCCATTTTCATGTCCATCTTCATATTTTCTTCCTGTGTTTTCCTGAAATTATATATATATACATGTACAGTGAGCTATCGGAGAATTCATTATATATTCTCTTTGCATTATCATTTCATATTCATATTTCATATTTACCTTGATGTTGGCCGGACTTTTCTCGTTCCACATTTTACGTTATTCACGTTTTCTCTACCTTAATTCCGCCAGTGTGTCAGTGACTTTATTTCCGGTGATTCCGATTTAGACAGTCGTACCGTGTCTATATGTGCATGGACAGTTTGCACGAGGTTGTGTCGAGAACTATAGTTATAGTTTTAACAAATTATTTATTTGTCATTTGAATTTGTGCTTAAAATTTGAAGACAATGTTGTGATTAGTATTATTTTCTATTGTATGTATACCTGAATATATATGTACAGATAAATAGTATACAAGTATGTGTATTAATATTATGTGACAATGTGTTGATAGTTGATACAGAGATATGACATATGTGCATATTGTTATAGAATTTAACCTTATGTGATATAATTTATTACATAGATATCTGTTGTTTTGTAATATAATGTTGTTGTGGATTAACTTAAATTGTTGATTGTTTTAACTAATTGAGCGAGTATCTGAGTATATATGCAGTATGTATCCATTATGTATAATTACAAATGTACTCTTCATATTTTTGAGAGAGAGACTTGAGTGATGTATTTATTTGCATATTTGTTATTTAATATATTGATGATATAGTCATGCATACTTTATATCTTGAGACTTATGTCTTCTACATAAGGTCTTAAGGTGGGGGGAATGTAGTGGAGTCGTATATTTTAATTAGAGTTATCTCTCTTGGATCTTGGATGGGGTGCGCGGTTGTCATTGACAACCGGTGCCACCGTCTGGGATCCGGGCGTTTCCGTTCCGCGTCCCTAATCAGTTCGTTCTTTTTAACTACCAGACTTAGACGTTTTTAGGAGTTTGTCTCCAATTTATTTATTTATCTACATATTTATATTGTTACCGTAATATTATTTGGTCAATTCCGATTGCTGAAGTGCTGACACTATCTATAAAGGTAAATACTCGACTACATTTCCCTTGCATTTCATTGTTTACTTGAATATTGTTTTGTTATTTGTTGATTAATAAAATACTATTTATTAAATAAATCAAAGTCATCTATCATATCTGAATAATCGTTATTGTTCTTTATTGTTTACGATCTAGATCTAGTATCTCGTGATAATCCGGGATAATTTTAAGTGGACTTTATTACAGACCACTGTTACAATAGAAATGCACCTATCAGGAAAAATCGAATTCTTCTTAAAAATATAACTGGAAACAAAATGATTATTAATCATGAACATACTGATCACCCACAATCCACCCACACATGGACCTATTTTTAGTTTGTTTAAGGCAGTATTTCATATTTACAAAGACTGCTAGCCTAATTCTTTAATACCCAATTACTCTTCTTTACCAGGAGAAAGAGAAGTTTTTCCGTGAGATATGGACGAGCTTGGAAACAAAGGATGCGTCTCTGCAAAGGCATTTTGACAGGAAAAGGATGTTTGCCGTTGGATTCCATGAGAATCAATGTATTGAAAAAATCAAGCTGTCAGTTGTTGATGTTGTCCAAAAACTTGATCACTGGGGTGAAAAACTTCCGCACTCCTGGGCTATGTTTGAAAACTTCTTCCAGGAAAAGAAGAACCTTAAAATCATCAAGAAAGAGACACTTTTGGCTTTCAATGAAGCATTGCCACAAGAATTGAAGTTGGGAACACAAGAAGATACTAACATCATGCTGCAGTTTTTCCATGACATCAGAGAAATTTTACACTTTGACCAAGAATACCTCGGAGGAATCATAATTCTTGATGTTCAATGGTTTGCAGATGCGTTCAAAAATGTCATTACAGATAAAAATCATGCAGCAGAGGATTTATTTAAGCTTGCATCACAATGGAACAAATTTAATGAAACAGGAGAACTGAGTGACACACTGCTGTCTGCGATATGGGAAATGAACAACAATGGGTACCTTGAACACAAAGATGATATCATGCGCTACATGGAGAAGCTCGGACTCCTGGCTAAAATGGATGACAAAAAATGGTATGTCCCCTGTATGAACAAGAAACCATTTCCAGTGGAATGCTTTACATCCTACCCTGCATCATCTATACTCTGCTACGTGTTTGATGCTCTTCCTGCTGGAATTTTCCAGCGCCTGGTAGCTATTTGCATGCAAATACCTTGGAAACTTAATTCAAGTCGTGATGAAGTATGCATTTACCAGACAGTAGCTGTGTTTCATTTTGAGGGCCATAACATTCTAATTGGTATGACACAAACAGACATTCATTTACAAGTGTTTGTAATTGAAGGAGAAGTCGATAAATCTATATGTCAACAAATAAAGCACAAAATTGACAATATACTGAACATTCTTTCCGAAACATTTCATGCAGACTCTAAATTTGTTGTTGCTTTCAAATGCAAAGCTACGGGATTCTGTGATAACAAAAAAAGTTCTGTGATCAATGAATCAGAATTTATAAAACCTACTTTTCAGTGTCCTTCCTGTCCAATTGGGAGAAAGCATACCATCAACTCAAAGGATATCAAGAAATATTGGATACAGGTATTTAATTTTAATAGTTGCTTTTTTCAAAAGAGAAAAAAGGAAATTTAAATAGAATATTTAATATATCTTGGCTACCTGACTCCTATTTGAACTTAAAAGTCTTCAGTTATTTCAATTACACCTCAGGAACTTTTTGTAAAGACCATCATTCAAAAAAGCTGTTGAATAAGTGTTTCAAAAATGATTAATACAAGGTTACGATGAAAGTTTTAAATCCGAAGAAAAAGAGGATTTAATTTTTACAAAAAAATGTTTAAAAGGGTTACATATAGATATTATGAACTTGAAATTGAAGAAGGAAATGCAATTTAAAATTTATAGAGAGTAAAAGCGAGTTGTTTAATTAATTTAAATTTCTAAAATAAAAGAATTGGGTAAAATTTGAATTATAATTCACATTGGGGTATAAAAATTCTTTAAAGGTTGATTTTAATAAGAAGGTTGTCGTAGCGTTTCAGAGAAATATAAACAACATTATTGTGCAACATCTAGTTATACTTGTTCAAAAAATAATTCCAATAGTTTTTTGGGAAGGGGGGGGGGACTGAAAACAATGTAGTTTTGCTTCATCTTAGCTATAATCAGAGTTTATAAATGTATGTGTTGTTTTTCGAAAGTATCGAGAACTGCAGGTCTACAGCAGCAATGAAACTTGTCATTTCACTGAAACACGTCAGATTGTTTTTACTGAAACAATCATTTGTATTGTAAATTACATATAATGTTAGAGTTAACAATTGTTTGTATTATATCGTTTCACTGCTGTGCATTCAGGAAATTTTGTTTGTAGCATTATTAAATCTTAAATGATCATTCATAATGAGGACACACCAGTTTTAGTGTCATTATTTCCATGTTAAAGGTACACGATGATGAAGCTGAGCCCACTGAAGATAAAGGTATAAATAAAGGTTCACTGTCGGGGAGTTCTGGATCAAGTGAGTCACATCATAAAGGTATCTCATCTTAATTGTCAGATCAAATTTATTGTTCATTTCACATTATTCTCGACTTTACGCAGCACAAACAAAACAATTTCATTGAGTATAAGTTGCGAGTGACATTAAATAAATGGTGCCTGTTTTGGAGGGTAACAGTTGAAAATGACACCCCTTCAAAAAAACATTGTCAACCTCCGCGTCAGCGGAGGCTGACAATGGTTTTTTGAAGGGGTGTCATTTTCAACTGTTACCCTCCAAAACAGGCATCATTTATTTTATCATACTGAATTTCTTCCTGATTTAGAATGATCAGCAAACGATCGTCGATCGTTTGTACGATCACTTTTAGAAAGCTTTCAAACTGCGCGCTACCTCGAAAAAGATTTACTGACCTCTTTATTGTTTATTTGATACACTAAGAGTCCTTTTTCATCTAAAGTGTCGGTATTTCTGCACTCGCAAGCATGTTTCGTATGTCTTTTGATGCGCATAATTTCCACGCATGTGTTATTCGTTGTCACGTGTGTTGCTAAGGTAATAGAACGGATTGTTAACTGCGCCTAAACTAATCAGATAAGGCATTATTATTTCCATTTCAAACTTCACACTGCATTGGATTATGGATGAATCCATTGAAATTAAATTACGTTTCAGACCCAATGACCCTAACTTAATTTTTTGTGTATCCTCTATACATATTAATATGCGGGTTTGAATGAAAATCAGCATTAAACAATTACCTGAAAAAAAGCTTCAAGAACAATCTTCTTCTGATCATTGATCAGAAGTATTTATAAAAGGAGCAGGTACTGCTTTATTTTGTCTTGAAAGATTTAGTAAATTTTTTTTTTATTCGACATGTTGGAAAAAGTATTGTAATGATTTCTTTTTTTTTCATTTACAATAATCATGGTGATTATATTTACTATATTGTCATTAATCAACATACGGATATATTTCTGTTATATAGATAATTTTGCCAAGATATTAAAGTTGTTACAAGTTGGAACTGATGCAGTAAGAATCTGCTTTGATAAATTCTTCCCTAAAGAGAATTTAGAGAAGACTCTGAAAGAAAATGAAACAGACATGAGAAGAGGACAGTTTCGATTCCAACCACCTCAACTGGAGATCCTTTTTCCTCAACAAGGTAAAATGGTTTTCTTTCTAAACGTTATGCTTCTTAAAATATTTTATGATATAAAGAAATATAAAAGTCTCTAAAATAATTATTTTTTGATATAAAGAAATTCGGTACTATGCACTACATAATGTTTTTTCCTTTAACATTATCATATTCCCTCAAACTATTTCATTTTTCTAAAACCAGGAAAATTTTGCGCTAAAAATTAATAATTTTACAGAATTCAACTAATCACTTATGAACCTCTTATTCCATTTAAAAGATTCTTTTTGAAACAGCATTGGATAAAAGAATAAACAAAAAGTGTACAGAATATAAAAGTAATCGTGATAAGTCTACCAAAAAAAAAATTTCTTGATATCAAAACAAGAATGTGAAAGATTGTATAGACTTTAATTGGTAATTATGTGTAGAATGACCCAAATCAAACTATGATTGAGAAATATCTAATTATGACATAAATCAGTGGGATATCTTTGAACTTCAAGACACTGAATACATGTATTTCTACACCTGACAAAATTGCTAACGCTAATGATAGAACCTGGTTTATTAGGAATATTAATATAGTGTGAACTTGATAAAAAAAGTAATTTAGAAAAAGTATTTTTCAAAATATAATTTTCTTTGTAAAACAAACTTCCTGTAATTATCAGAAGCCATATTTGCTTTGTTCGATCTAAAGAAAGTACATAGAAGATCTTTTGGACTTATTCTGTAATGTTGATGTAAATATAAGTGTGTTGAATATTGGCTCAACCTACACCTCCTGTTAAATCCTTACTTAGGAACGATACCTTTAAAAAGAAGTTTCGATTCACAATAAATGATTGAAAACCTAAAGTCTGGTTACAATAGAAAAAGATAAAATCGTGTCTTTTCCATTATTGAAGAAAAAACTTTCAATTTCTTTTTTATATTTGTGTTCTCTCCATTTGTTCTCAGAATTGAAAACTCAGAAAAAAAATTACATCGTATGCGTCATTTTACGCTAAAAGAGCCTGTAAGCAGACAGGTTGGCGTCTGCAGAGGGTTACCTTAGAAAAATCTGTAAAAACTAAAAACTATAAAAAGCTTATGAATTCCAACCATGAACAATTGTTCCAAATAGATAAATAAACATAAAAATGTTAACTATAGAAAACCATGGCATTAAGTTAGCAGCATACAATAAGTTGAAAAATGTTCCACAAAATGGGTCAACCGGAAGTAGAGTGGATTTGGTATGGACACTAAGGTATCAGATGATTACTACGAGATATCAGATATTTGTCTATGACTGTTAGTTATTTGAATTTTAAATGTGTCACTACTCCTGTAGCAATCTCATAGACCCCTTTAGAGATCAGGAATTTCATATCTATGCAAAAATGGTGCGCAGTGCACAGCTGGAAATTGATTTGGTTTTCGGACAAGAAGGCCAAAGATTTTTTATGTTACCAAGACATTTGTCAATCCCACTTCTTTTGAAATAATGTCATATTATATACACTAGTACCGATCCGGCAAATGTTCAATCCAAGTGGTGCGTTGGCAATTTTGTCTAGTGTATAAACCATGGCAACATATGTTAGATCATGACTTCAGGTAATAACGCAAACTTTTCATGATTTATTTCTTTAAAAAGGAGTTTATATTGCATCGATATTTTGAGTAAAATTCCTCGAGCACAGGCCTGCTCATGCGTTGTAATATATAGAAAAACAATACTAATACAATGTGTAAATCTTGTTCAGGAGCTGACCTTTGCTCTATTAATTTTAGTAAAAATTAAACAAATTGTATTAATTTTTTTTCTGTAAAACAACATAAAGTCCAAATAGTTTGTGAAGTCATAGAAACAAAATTTTCAATAACCTAGTCTGAAACTATTATTTTTTTAAATGTAGATTTCTCGTACAATATATACAATACAGTGCATTTCAAAAAAATTTCAAAATATGACTTTTGTTGAAGCAAAAGATGCATATACCGCGTACTGATCTGGACAGTGGTTTCAATAGCAAATTTAATGTATTTTACTGTTCCCAAGGATAGAATATTAATTAAAACTGTTACAATACCGAAATAGTCATAATATTTCAACAACAACAAAATAATATCTAATGATTTGGATCATCTTTTTTTATTATGGTGTTGAAATAAATACATTATACGAAATGTTTAGCTTGGTGTCAATGTTTTTTTTTCTTTCAATAGAAAATTGTAAGTAACAAGAAAAACATTTAATCTTTTATGTGCTGAAAGTGAAATCATCTATGTAACAAATAGACATTTGATATACCACAGTTAAAGGAATTTTTCCCCCCAGTTTTATTTTTGCCCCTTTTGTCCTTAGCTCGGTTGGGCGAATTTTAAAAGGGACGAATTTCAAAGAATGCAGTATAATTTCTTAAACAAAACTGTGAATGGGAGAGTTTAGAATGGGGAAAGGTAGTTTGCATGCGTGAATGGGTGAAAAGAAAGCGGGGCGAAAATATATTGTTCAAAATTGTGATAAATCTTTATTGTGAAACAAGTTTAAAGCCATTTTGATCCATGTTTATGAATCTGAAAGATTAAGAGCTCCGATCGACAATTGTATTTTTGTATTTGATGAGCAAAAAATGTAAACAATTTGCTAGTGATTGTTAATTAAATAAAAAAAAATGATCGAGTGAAGAGGAAAACCATTATATCTATTCTATCCATATCAGAATTTTAACTTTAGCTAGGTGTAAATGATGTTTTGAAGGTGGATCCAACACAGGTGTATCATCTTTATCGATGGACGTCACCATCATGTATAAATTGTTGAGGAATATCTCTGGCATTGCTCCTCCTGGGAATGGATGGGGAAAAGAACCTAAAATACTGGACATCACAGAGAGTGACGACATTGAAAGAATCCGTTTGTATAGAAATAAATACAGCCATGATCCAGGGAGTAGCCCCGTAATGAGCGATGATGTTTTTAGCATAATCTGGGCTGATCTTTCTAAGGTGAGTTAAAGCAATAAACGTCGAGGGTTTTCTTGCTTTCCAACAGTCGATAAAATTTACATGAGACAATTTTATTGGTTGTGGGTCATCTGGACTGTAAACAGTTTATTTTTTCTTGGAGAGTAAGACTGGTCATTTATTAGCTGTTAGAGTTTAAGTAAAACATAATGCGACCATTTTTATATCTAGCAATAAAATGATTTTTAAGCATATATCTCTCAGAAGAAAATAGCTTGTGCAAATTAGTTTATTCAACAGAAACAATAACAAATTCAAAAGGGCTCAAAAAATGATATCAGCTTAAATCAACCCTTCCTTTTGAGCAAACAGGACTCAGTAGAAAATAAGAAAAAAGAAATTATACAAATTGAGCAATAACAAAATTCAAGGGGACATAAATCTATGTATGCTTAATTAAAACGATCTTTTTTTTACTGTATCTACATTAACTTTTGCAAAGTTCAATTATTTTCTCATTGATGCTATTTTTCTGTTTTGCTTCAAAAACTAGTTTTACAATGAAAGATATTTTTTTTTTAATAAACTGAGTTGATTAATGTGTTTGTTTATTTAATTATAATTATTAATGTTATAATTTTTGTTAACAAAACCAATGTTATACTTTATACAGGATTTGTCTCATTTCTTTTCAGGCCATTCTAAGACTAGGTGGTGATGTTTTGAAGAGAAGGATCAGTGAAATATAATTGAGTGGATAATAAAATTCACAATATTTACGAGACAACAACAAACATTTTTATGAGAAAAAAATAATGTTGTTCTCATGGTGATATTCAGTCACATTTATTGTAAACATTGTGCAATAATTTTTGGTGCTGATTTTTTTTTTTTTTTTTTTTTGACAAACAAGATATTCATTTTCCAATGACAACACAATGTTAAATACCCGTAATCATGGATATCAGTTCAATATTGAATTCAAATTTTTTACTAAAAAGCGGTATTTTATATTTTACTTATCCCTGGATTCTATTATATATATCTTTACATATTGCAATAAATTGTGCTTTTCCTCGGTAAGAAAATTTCATTTTCATCTTCATCGGTAAATGGTCCACATAAAAAACAATATTTTGGAATTTTTTTATTTTATTGAGACATTTATTCGTATTCTGCAAATAATTATGAAACGATATGTTTGTAAATGAATGTGGTGAGTACAACAGCCATTTGTTAAATAGGTTCTGGAAGCACCGAACCTATTTTATCGATTTTGGATCTCTGAGTGAAGGTGAACAAAAACCGAGAACTTTGTTTACAATGGGGCGAAAACCATCAAAATAATTACAATCTTTCAAAATCTTTTCTCCTAAACATCAGGCAGTTGAACTGTTGTAATAGTTGTAGACCCCATAATTATCATTGAGTCATCTTCCATTTTTTTGACAATTTCTATTCCCAGAAGCAGTGTTTCTGAAATAAGGATCTGGTTTTAATACATGTTATCAAATTGTGTACTGAAGAAATTCTTATAAAAATCTGCTCACCGTATATTTGGAAGAGAATTTAATTGGTCTCTGAAGTCTAAAAATACAGTCAATCCTGTGGTAAGAGACACCAACGGAGAAAGGAAAAATGTTTAATTGTGTATATGACAGGTAGTCTCTTAATACAAGTTACTTATCTTTGTCGGTGTTCAAACATAATATTCTTAAAATATTTAACATCAATATATAATTACTTATACAATGAATCACTGCTTTTTAAAATCACTTCTCAAATCTTAATTCTTGTATATCATGGGAGTAAAATCGCAAAGTATAGTGAAAAAATTGTGCTTATTATAAATCAAATATGAGTCATTTTGCTTACAGAGAAATTTTAAAATATATTAAGATATTTTAAACATCATAAAAATCTGTACCGATTTAAAAAAAAAAAAAAAAAAGAATGTTATTTGTTTTGACACAATGCGAATTGACGCAATGTTCAAATAACAGAATAAAGGAACAGAGCACACACAGCTACCAGCACATTTCAAAATAGAGATAATAGCTATACCTGTTTAAAATCTCATAATTGATCATGAAGAGGAAGTCGTTGGATTTTCTTCTAATTATTACTGTTCCCCTCATACTAGTACATTACTGTGTATACATGTGTCTAATACAGTATAATGTTGATGTAGCATTTCAATCTGGCAAACACATATCGATGATTAATTTGATGAGTTTTGAAAATAAGACCTTTAATTTTTAATGACAGCCATTTTTTTTATGTTCATGTATTTAAAAAAAATGATATCGGAATGTCAAATATTGAAATACTTTAGTACAACTCACTAAAATACTTTAGTTTAACTCACGATTTGAATTTAACCAAACTCTGAGGAAAAAACATTATTTTGTCAGGATTCTGCAGGTAGCCATACAGGAAACCTCAACAAACTCTGAGCAAAAACATATTAGATTGCAATGTATTGTATCTCAAGATATTTTTAAACAAAATATCAATTTTGCAGGATCTAGTCATAAGAGAGTACATTATCATATTTTGAATACAATATATTGACATTTAGCAAACAAATTTGAAAATCGGTATATGCATTATTTAAAATAACCTGTAACTAAGATTCATAAAACTGTATAATATTTTTGTGTCTTATTTACCTGTAACTAAGCCCCATAGAACTGTATAATATTTCTGTGTCTTACTTCCCTATTAATAAGATCCACAGAACTGTATAATATTTCTGTGTTTTATTTATCTGTAACTAAGATCCATAGCACTGTATAATATTTCTGTGTCTTATTACCTATAACTAATCCCCATAGAACTGTATTATTCTTTTGTGTCTTATTTACCTGTAACTAAGATCTATAGAACTGTATAATATTTCTGTGTCTTATTACCTATAACTAAGATCCATAGAACTGTGTAATATTTCTGTGTTTTATTACCTGTAACTAAGCCCCATAGAACTGTATAATTCTTTTGTGTATATTTACCTGTAACTTAGATCCATAGAACTGTATAATATTTCTGTGTCTTATTTACCTGTAACTAAGATCTATAGAAATGTATAATATTTATGTGTGTTATTTATCTGTGACTAAGCACCATAGAACTGTATAATATTTCTGTGTCTTATTTACCTGTAACAAAGCCTCATAGAAATGTATATTATTTCTGTGTCTTATTTACCTATAACTTAGATCCATAGAACAGTATAATATTTCTGTGTGTTATTTACCTATAACTAAGATCCATAGAACTGTATAATATTTCTGTGTCTTATTTACCTATAACTAAACCCAATTGACCTGTATAATATTTCATTGTCTTATTTACCCTGAAACTAAGATCCATAGAACTGTATAATATTTCTGTGTGTTATTTACCTATTACTAAGATCCATTGAAGTATATAATATTTCTGATATCTAATAGATCCTTGTCTTTAAACATTTCTGCATAAGAAGTCTTTCACAATTTTTCCTATAATTATATATTCTTAAGTGGCATCTGCTTTTTTGTCATAATTCATGCAAAAGATTCGTAAATCTAAAAGCTTGTTGTTTTTAAAGTGGATAGAATATTATCTACATCCCACACAGTCGTATGCATTCACCAATTTCTAAGAAAAGCTATAGATAATGATACAAGCTTTGCTTGAAGATAGAAGGTTCTTTGAAAAACTCCCTATTATCTTTTAGCAGATATTCATATATATCATTTAAAAACCAGGAACGTTTTTGGTCGTCTTCTTTGTTTTGTTTTTTGTTTTTGTTATTTGTGTTTATTTAATAACTTGACCACAAGAAGGATAACTCGTGCTTGTCTACTCCCCAACAAAAAATACTATAGTTAACTATAGTTAACTATAGTTTACTATAGTTTACTATAGTTTACTATAGTTAACTATAGAAAATCAAAGTGTCAAAGTTTACGTCAAAGTTTTTTCAAAGTGTCAAAGTTTTTGCCAAAGTTTTTCAAAGTGTCAAAGTTTACGTCAAAGTTTTTCAAAGTGTCAAAGTTTTCGCCAAAGTTTTTCAAAGTGTCAAAGTTTTCGCCAAAGTTTTTCAAAGTGTCAAAGTTTTCGCCAAAGTTTTTCAAAGTGTCAAAGTTTTCGATAAAGTTTTTAAAGTATCAAACTTTTCAATAAAGTTTTTCAAAGCATCCCAAGTTTTCGATAAAGTTTTTTAAATTTTCAAAGTTGGCGATAAAGTTTTTTAAAGTGTCAAAGTTGGCGATAAAGTTTTTCTATGTGTTAAAGTATCAAAGTTTTTGATAAAGTTTTTTAAATTTTCAAAGTTTTCGATATAGTTTTTAAAGTGTCAAAGTTTTTTATAAAGTTTTTCGAAGTGTTTAAGTATCCAAGTTTTCGACAAAGTTTTTCAAAGTGTTAAATTTATCGATAAAGTTTTTCAAAGTATCCAAGTTTTTGATTAAGTTTTACAAAGTATCAAAGACTTCGATAATGTTTTTCAAAGTGTCAAAGTTTTTGATAAAGTTTCTAAAAGAATCAAAGTTTTCGATAAAGTTTTTTAAAGTGTCAAAGTTTTCAATAAACTTTTTCAAAGTTTTAAAGCATCCAATTTTTCGATAAAGTTTTTCGAAGTATCCAATTTTTCGATAAAGTTTTTCGAAGTATCCAAGTTTTCGATAAAGTTTTTTAAAGTGTCAAAGTTTTCGCCAAAGTTTTTCAAAGTGTCAAAGTTTTCGCCAAAATTTTCAAAGTGTCAAATTTTCGTCAAAGTTTTTTAAAGTGTCAAAGTTTTCGCCAAAGTTTTTCAAAGTGTCAAAGTTTTCGCCAAAGTTTTTCAAAGTGTCAAAGTTTTTGCCAAAGTTTTTCAAAGTGTCAAAGTTTTCGTCAAAGTTTTTTCAAAGTGTCAAAGTTTTCGCCAAAGTTTTTCAAAGTATCAAAGTTTTTGCCAAAGTTTTTCAAAGTGTCAAAGTTTTCGTCAAAGTTTTTTCAAAGTGTCAAAGTTTTCGCCAAAGTTTTTCAAAGTATCAAAGTTTTCGTCAAAGTTTTTCAAAGTGTCAAAGTTATCGCTATAGTAAATCAAAGTTTTCAAAGTGTCAAAGTTATCACTATAGTTAACTATAGTAAACTATAGTTAACTATAGTATTTTTTTGTTAGGGCTGACTGCCCTGTTCCACTTATACGTAGATACAAATTAAGGACAGATGATACAAACAATTTTTTTCTTTGAAAAAGATTTAATATCATGTCACAGGTTTAGAAAAGTGGATGGTTCTTAGAATTTTTTACTCGGAAGAACTGGAAAGTGAAATAGACTTGGAAAATATTAGTAATATTTCAATAAAAAAACAAATATAGACAAATCACATTCAGTAAAGGTTTACAGGTGAAAACAAATTTCAGAATATGTTATCTTGGTGCTAAAAGTGTAATATAAACTTTAGAAAAATATACCAAGCCAAGTGAATTTTAGGAGGAAGATCAAAATGACAAAAAATTAGCAATATCACATAGGCTGATTTTTACCATTTAGCTTTTCCTAATAAAATTCACCTGGCTTGGTATATTTTTCTTAAGTTTATATTACACTTAAAGCACCATGTTAACATTCTGAAATTTGTTTTCACCTGTAAACCTTTACTGAATGTGATTTATTCTATATTTGTTTTTTCATTGAAATATTACTTATATTTCTAAGTCTTTTTCATATTCCAGTTCTTAGAAGAAAAAAATCGAAGAACCATCCACATTTCTTAATTTGTGACATGATATTATATCTTTTTCAAAGAAAAAAATTGTTTGTATCATCTGTCCTTAAGGTTGGTAAAATGATTTATTCAACAAAATTCCTTCCAAATTATTTCTTGGATAAAAACTACTATCCATTTTTTTAAAAAAAAATATCTTCCCGGTTTTTGTATAAATAATTTATTCATAAATCAATATATCTTTCCAATATATCTTATCAGTATTTTTTTAAATTCCACATAATCTTAGGAAATGTATTCATATAAATCATATTATTACAGGGATGTTGTTTTATTGACTAGTTTTACCACAGGAAGGATAACTCGTGCACGTCT